TGTTCATCATAAATCCAAACTCGAGACTTGCCCTACTTATTTTTTGGAGCATTTGATCGAACTCTTTGACTGTAGAGACAAAAAAGGCGATATCATCGAGAACGGGAGGAAAAAGTAGTAATAAATAAAAATACAGACAGCTAGAAAACCTATTTCGTTTGAATGACGCGTAGTGAAAACATATTACGAATTCAGATATCATAAGCAGCCTTACCGTCCTTCTCAATAGACAGTGAGTTTATTTGTTTGTTAATATACTACTACTGTTTATCAAATTGAGAAAGTTGTGAACTTGTCTTGAATTATGTCACTTTCCCCGAAATTTTATTTCCCAGGAAATAATAATTAAACCAATCAACAACAATACAAAAATCATGACAACAGAATAAATTTAAATAAACTTAATAGACGTAAAAACTCATTGATTTATTCAGGATATATCGTTTCCAATAAAACCTCTTTAGATGTGGTACTGACAATGTTGTTTCTTGCAGTGTTTTTCAACCTTTTTCATAACACGACCCCAAAAAATATACGAAAAAATATTTCGCGATCCCAGACCCTTCGCTTTTTTTCATGTATTTCATAATTATAGTCTACTAGAGGGAGACTTTGTACAAAAGTCGTTTGCTATGGCATCTCTTTCCCGTTCGTGTTTTAACCGTGAAGCAGTCGTGTTTGCATGACTGTATTTCGGTTTGAAGAGTGGAATATGGCGTAAATTTACAGAATACAAAGGAATAACACCTGAGTTCTCAGGAATGGCAACGCATGACGGGTATCATGGGCGAAACAGTATACTCTGTTATGTCCATGGTACTGCACATGTCTATAGGCGACGGTTACCACTTTCCATCAGATGGGCCGTCAGCTTGTTTGCCATACTAAGTTGCATAAAAAAATTTTGTAGAGATGTTGTAGGGACAATTTTTTTTTATATTTTTATCTGTGCATAGAGTCATCGATTTTGTTGTTAATTTGTATTAATATACAAATTGTTTTAATTATCATTATTTTTAATAAAAATATTTTTATAACTTTGTTTTTTTTTTTACTGAGGTAGTTTTCGCGACCGCCGTATAGAGACTTCGCGATCCGCACGTTGTAAAACACTATTTTAATGTATATTAACATTGTCATTCAATCACGAATAGCCATGTGGTCCCGGCATAGAATGGACCACCCCCTCCTTTCCCGTGGATATCGTAAAAAGCGACGAAAGAAATGGTCAATGGATGAACAGCAGCGCCCCTCTCAGATAGATAAAAAGACATTATTGTCAATGTATTCCGTACATAACTATGTATTTACATGCCTAAATTTACTGTTTTCTACATAGCAAAATTGCCTTGACATTTTATTATATATAAGAAAGAATGAGGAAACAAAAAAAAAATACCATTCCCTTTGAAAACATAGCTAAGACAATGTACAAAGAAATTGGCAAACACCTTCGTATATCAGCAAATTGAATGCGTTATCCAGATTTATTATTGTTAGACGGAAATAAAACAAGGTTCGTGTAAACGGCGATACGTGAAACGGGTAATAGGAGTATGAGGGCGTTAAAACAAAATTCTGAAAAGGTAAAAGAGAAAACAAATTCAACTTTTTCCTAATCGAAAATTAGGATAATTATTTGCTTTATGGTATGCATGGGGGGTATCATGTGCGGAACAGTATACTCTGTTATGTCCATGGTACTGCCCATGTCTATAGGCGGTTACCACTTTCCATCAGGTGGGCCGTCAGCTTGTTTGCCGTTCTACGTAGCGGAAAATAAAAAAAAAGTCGTGCGCGCCTTTATGAAAATCCTTCAAACAGTAAATGAAAATCAGTGGTTTGCTCACTGAGCAAACGACTCGATGGGATTATTGCCTTTTTGGGTCGCTGTGGTACACATATTTTATTCCCATATTACTTTTTACTAGCTTTTACCCGCGATATTGTCTGCGTGATCGGGATAAAGAATAGCTTATCTACTTCCATTACTACCATTCCGTATAGTATCTGTTTTCCAAATTCCAAAGCGACTGGTTAAGCCGTTAAAGCGGTATAAGGTAACAAACAAACACTCAATCGTAGGGGGGAAAGGGATTGTTAGTAATGGAGTCTAAGAATCCCATTGCTAGTAATATACCCATCCAGGTCGACTTCCTCGCGGTTCCCCCTAGAAACTATCATGATTAATTCCTGATGAATTCATCATGATGGGCTAATTGGCCTGTTTTCATCCTCATCTAACACCCTTCACTGGTGCTCCGCCAGCGTATTCTGTTAGCGCAGACGGGGTACCATACCATTTTCATCCTAATAACACTCAATTGTAAATTTATAATTTTGTTTGTAATTTTTTAAATAGATGATAATGGAATGGTGACCCCGCCTACACTAACGGTATACACTGACGGGGTACCAGTGAGAGATGATAAAGCAAGTCAATTAGCCCATCGTGACGAATTCAATGATAAATTAGTGACGATGGTTTCCAAAGGAAACCGCGTGGAGGTGGACCTGATATGGTATCTTGATAACAATAGGGACTAACCTCCCCATTACTAACAATCCTTTCCCCCAATTTGGTAGTTTTTTTTTTTTTTTTTCATACACCTTAGAACGGCAAACAATATATTCTGACGGTCCACCTGATGGAAAGTGGTAACCATCGCCTATAGACATGAGCAGTACCATGGACATAACAGAGTATACTGTTTCGCCCATGATACCCCCCATGCGTTGCCATTCCTGAGGACTCAGGTGTTAATCCTCTGTACCCTGTAAATTCACGCCATATCCCACCCTTCAAACCGAAACACAGCCATGCAAACACAACTGCTTCACGGTTGAAACACGAGTGGGACAGAGGTACCCAGGCAATCGACTTTTGTACAAAGTCTCCCTCTGGTAAGGGTTATACGGCCGTATAATATTTTCTGTACACTAGCCTGCTATGAATTGACAGTGTCATCACTTCTTCTATGTAATTCCTTGTTCTTAGGTTTGGTTCAACTACATAATTATATTCAATACCGATGAACGTTGGGGGGAAGGGATTGTTAGTAATGGGGTCTAATGAACCCATTGCTAGCAATATACTCGACTCAGGTCGACCTCCATATGGTTCCCCCTGGAAACCATCGTGAATAATTCTTGTTGAATTCGTCACAATGGGCTAACTAACCTGCTTCATCCTCACCTATCATCCTTCAGTGGTGCCCCGCCAGTGTATACCGAAAGCGCGGGCGGGGTTACCATTCCATTATCACCCATTAAAAAAAAATACCGATGAACGAATGATGGATACGATTAAATCGATTTTCATTTTATTGCTACGTTTTATAAATTGCGGCGAGACAGCGAAATATTAGGTGTTGTACGCCTACAAATGTTTGTCGATTTATCACAAGCTATATACAAAAGAGTACAGAAAACTTCCAATTCGACTGTACTCCAGCCGAATTGAAGTTTTCTATCTGCCTCATCGGTTTCCTCCCGCCATCTTTGCAACTTTTCGATTAGTTGTAAAAATAGAATCTTACTGCATAAATACGCTTTTTTATGCAACTTAACAATGGCAAACATGCTGACGGCCTACCTGATGGAAAATGGTAACCTTTGCCTATAGACATTAGCAATATTACGGGCATAACAGAGTATACTGTTTCACCAATGATATCCTTCATGCGTTGCCATTCCTGAGCACTCAGATGTTATTCCTCTGTACCCTGTAAATTCACTACCATATCCCACTCTTCAAACCGGGGGGAAAAGGGATTGTTAGTAATGGGGTCTAATAGCCACATTACTAGTAATATACCCTCTCAGGTCGACCTCCACGCGGTTCCCCCAGGAAACCATCATGTTTAATTCTTGTCGAATTCATCATGGTGGGCCAACTAACCTGCAATCATTCTCACCTATCATCTTCCACTGGTGATTATACTGGTGGTTATACCGATAGCGCAGGCGGGGTTATCATTCCATTTTCATCCAGTAAAAAAAACCTTTCAAACCGTAACACAACTGCTTCACAGTAGAAACACTAATAAGACAGAGGTCCCCAAGCGGACAACTTTTGTACAAAGTCTCCCTCTGTTTATTTACATTATTCACAAAGATAGTGAAAGCGGAGATGATTAGTAATTGATATTAAACAGTCTAAGTCTACTACTCTATCAGGATGACCTCCACACGGCCTTAATAGAACCGTCGTGAGTAAATATCTGGTTAATTTGTCACGCTGTGTAAGTGGCTATAGTAGTGACCCAACTTCTTCCTCACCTATCGTTCCTCACTGGTACACCTCACCGAGCCAAGAAGCTTAGTAAATTTGATAAGTTTTATTTCACGTTTCCTTCTAACGAGTCAAGTTGAATTTTTTTTATTGCTGTTACTACATCCTGATGCTGAAAAGGAGTAGTGACATACTGTATTCGTTATAAGTTTTTACTTAAATGCCAGTGTTAATTACAATTATTTGTTAACTTCAAATATTGCAAGCTATCTTTGCAAATTAGAATAATTGCTACTAACATACTTTCCTGGAATTTTGCATACACATTCATTTGTAATATTCAATATTTGGATATTATCAAAATGGCCGCCACAACAAGATGGCGGATGGTGTACCATATGTTTTACTAAATCTATTAATATAGGTATCAAATGAATTACTTAAAGAGTTTAGATTATAGAAGCTTGTTTTTTTTAATATTTAATCGACTTTAATGAGAAAGGGGTTCCCCAATTCAGTTGTATATTTTTATTTATTATCTCGTTCCTTTGTCAGTTCAAAACCGATGTAGAAAGTTCTTCTTATATTTAATTAAAACCGATTTACGAAATTTCTTTTAAATTATATTAAAATATATTTTTATATAATTTCAAAACTAAACTAATAGAAACCCTTTTTATATTGTGGAATACAATTTAATAATATACATACAGACATTACTCAGTAATCATACGGATTATATAGATTACCAATATATTGTCTCCAGAGAGAACTGAACGCGGTAGACTTCAAGGTGTCAGCGGATCTGAAGTTCGTGCTGCTGATATCAGACGTGCGGCCAGGCTGGAGGCACGCCCGGCTCGCCAGGTATCACGTCTACGACGTTATAAACAGGTGAGAAACAATCAAATTATTGATTATATATATATAATAATATTCCAAAATTTTGATTAATTGTTTCAATTTCCATCAGGAACAAAATTCCTGTGTCTCCGGTGGAAGACGACCGGACGGCACCCTTGCTTCAGTACGCCGAATGGTCACCGACCGGAGCAGGCTTAGTCTTCGTGCATGACAACGATATATACTACAAGCCAAAAATGCTGAAGACTCTGGTCTGCAGGATCACAAAAAGCGGTGTGTTCTAAATTGTCTTTTAAAATCTTTTGCACTTCTTTCAGGTTCGGTAAAATAATTCTGAAATTTTGTTAAGTCTAATGATTTGCATCTAGCTATAACAATGCGCGCATGAAAGAAATGTGTACCTAAATTGGTTATAATTTCGGTTATAATTCGAATATAATAAAATAATAATAATATTTATTGAAACCAGAAAGACATGTAACAAGTATTCATTTTGTTCTCAAGACTTTAGACCTTTAGACCCTTTGTCCCTTAGACCCTTTGTCGTGAAGTCATGGGTCTTCTTCTGCTTACAATTTTTTTTAACTAATTTACAAACTTTAGCTATATAATTATACTTATACTTATACTGGTAAAATAGCTAAAGTATATAATTATATATATTTTAGCTATTTTACCAGAGGGAGACTTTGTATAAAACTCAATTGCTTGGGTACCTCTGTACCATTCGTGTTTCTACCGTGAAGCAGTTGTGTCTACATGGCTGTGTTATGGTTTGAAGGGTGCGATATGGCGTAAATTTACAGGGTACAGAGGAATAACACCCGAGTCCTCAGGAATGGCAACGCATGGGGGGTATCATGGGCGAAACAGTATATTCTGTTATGTCCACGGTACTGCTCATGTCTATAGGCGACGGTTACCACTTTCCATCAGGTGGACCGTCAGCTTGTTTGCCATTCTAAGTTGTATAAAAAAAAAATATAATTATGAAACAAAAATTAGTTCAATCAATGCAAAAAGACGGAAAGTATGTCGTTCTCGATCGGAGACCTCGTGCAATCAAATGTAGTTTAAGACAATTCCTTACTAGATAGAGCGATGATTTCAAATATGTTGTAGGATATCAATAGATTTTCCCCTCTCACCGTACTGGTTACGCTTCAAACTCTTTTCTCTTACATTCTTCACGACTCTGAAACGCGCTTCCTGATGCCATTAAGAGACTACCGACTAAACCGTCTTTCAAAAAAAGCGATTACAATCACTTTTTTACTTTATCCGAGCAGCAATTGCTTTATATTATTCTCAATTTCGTGTATAATATAGTATATATCATATATGTGTAAGTATATTTATTATTCATATATATTTATTCGTTTATATATGTAATTTTAGTGTGTATGTATATCAATAATTACTAGTACCGCATTCGAGTATTCTGACACTTCCCTATGGTTGACTGGGAGAGAATGCTATTAGCATTAAGTCCGCCATGCACACATATTTGTACTAATGAATAAATAAATAAATAAATGGATGACTGTGTGCAAGTAGCTCCGGCCCATTCGTTATAGCAGTCCATAAGGAAGACATTATTATCATTTAACTGTACACTCTTAAAAAGAATGGATAGATAGATTAATTATCTATCTATCCATTCTTTTTAAGAGCTGCGCTCTTGTCAACGGAGCTTTTGCCACTCACTACGATTTTCAGCGAGTCTCTTCACCTCTTGATACGACACGACACCAACTCTTTCCTTGATCTGCCTGATGTAACTATACCTCGGTCCCCCTTTTCCCCTCCTTCCTTCTCTCTTACCTTCTACTTTGAAATAAGTTTGTCTTGTCGTATCAAGTGTCCTAACATTTTTCCTTTTGACCTCACACACAATTAATAGCTAAAATTAAGTACATACTCAATTCTAAATTTCAGGAGTACCAGGTGTAATCTTCAATGGTGTGCCAGATTTTCTGTACGAGACAGAGGTACTCCAACTAGACCGAGCACTCTGGTTTAGTCCGGATGGTCAGACCCTGATGTATGTTACATACAACGACAGCCAAGTGCAGCAACATAAGTACCCCTGGTATGGGCTTGACCAACAAGAGCCGCCGGCGTACCCCAGCATCAGAACGTTGAGGTATCCCAAGGTAAGTAGGCTCGATGAGTTGTTTCATTATTTAACCAATTTCAAGAACTCCAAAACTGATGAAGGGTGGAAAGGGATTGTTTGTAATGGAGTCTAATAGCCTAATAGGGTCAATGTATCCTATCAGGTCTATCTCCACGTTCCCGTTCCCGTTGGAAACCATCGTGATAAATTCTCGTGGAATTATTCACGATGGGCTAACTGACCTGATTTCATCCTCACCTATCATCCCTCACTGGTGCCACGCCAGCGTATACTGATAGCGCAGGTGGAGTAACCATAGCATTTTAACCCCATTTAAAAAAAAACTGATGAAGAGTCTGTAAATTGTCATTCTTGTTTATATCCCCAAATAGCTTTGCTTCCACACAACATGACCCTTTTTATATGATGCATGAGATATGGTACGCACAGGCAACTTCTCTCATGTTACAAGTGTTTATGGGTGACAGTAACCGCTTTCCATCAGGTGGACCGTCTGCTCGTTTGCCCCCCTAATAGTAAAAAATGGTAGTATTACTAGTTACAAAGATCTAGGATCTTAGTCCTCAAATATAGCCATAAATTTTGGTTACTAGGAGTGTTTATGTACCATGTAATCCCGGCATAGAATGGGGCATCCCTACCTTTCCTGTAAGTGTCTTAAGAGGCGACTAAGGGGACTTAATGGTAGAGAGATGAGCAGTAACGTCCCTCTTAAAACATCACTTAAAGCCTAACTGCTAATTCGCCTGCCAATCGTGGCAACTACTGGTAAAACTTCTCTTATAGGAAAGAATTGTGCTCAAGAGTGTTTATAATGTCTATGGTACATCTTCATTTTTATTCCTGCAGATTACCATTTACAATTAAATGGACTTGTCTACCATTCCAAATGACATAAAAATAACAAATATCTATTAGTTTTGTGGGTTGGTGGGTGTCGTATGAATCGACTGAGGAAGGGCGAGGGATGGGCAGCAGCGTCCCTCTTAAAACATCTCTAAAGCCTAACTGCGGTTGCCAACCCGCCTGCCAAACGTGACAGCTACTGGCAAAAATCCCCTTATATGGAGGGCTTATGTTCAGCAGTGGACAGTTAAAAGCTGATGTGATGATCATCTATTGATTTTGAAAGTTTAATTTTTAAAGTTTAACCTTGATGACATCATGATATTCTTCCAGATGAACACAAATAACCCAGTAGTGACAGTGTACGTGGTGAGCCTGAAAACGTTGAAGTATCTCTTCCCTCATCCAATACAGTTCACGCCGCCGGTGGATAAAAGTAAGCGAGACACACATTTGTTCTTTTACTTTACGTACCAGAGGGAGACTTTGTACAAAAGTCGATTGCTTGGGTACCTCTGTTCCATTCGTATTTCAACCGTGAAGCAGTTGTGTTTGCATGGCTGTGTTTCGGTTTGAAGGGTGGGATATGGCGTGAATTTACTGGGTACAGAGGAATAACACCTGAGTCCTCAGGAATAGCAACGCATGGGTGATATCATGGGCGAAACAGTATACTCTGTTATGTCCATGGTACTGCTCATGCCTATAGACGACGATTACCACTTTCCATCAGGTGGGCCGTCAGCTTGTTTGCCATTCTAAATTGTATAAAACACACCAAGTTACAAACACAAGATACAGTGGGCCCCACATTAGGCGAACCTGTATCGTGGACACCCGTCAAAGATTGACAATTCATAATCTGTTATAATAAAAAGTACATAGTGGGCGGGTATTAATATAAAAGAAAAAGAATATATAGAAGCAAGAATAGAGGCAAGCTGCTTGCATTTTGTTTTCCGATTTAAAGTATACGTTCTATATATCTGTCATATCTTAATGCTTAAATTTCTCTGTAATTTCACTAAATTACTGGGTACTGTGATGGAAACGTCGGCGACACGCAAATTATGCCTCTGGCGTTGCAAGCGTGCTACAGTGTCATTTGCTAAACGGAGCGTATGCTCGGTTGCCATCCTTAATGTACCTTTTGTATATATATGTAACAATGGATAGATAGATAGATACTCTTTATTGTTTCCTGCATAAGATTACAATAGTAAACTTATTATAGATACAAATAAATACTATAATATAAGTAATGTTTTAATATTCTGGAACAGCCTGGTACGTGCGATGGACGGGCTGGATATCAGAACGTCAGATAGCTGTGCTGCTGCTGAACAGGCCTCAGAACTACTCCATCGTCAGCATCTGCAACGCTGCTCAATACAATTGTCAAGATGTAAGTAACTTGTAGGTTCCGGCATATATAGACCACCCCTTCCTTTCACGTAGGTGTTGCAAGAAACGACTAAGGGAGCTTATGGTGGAGGGATGGGCAGCAACGCCCTTCTTAATACACCACCAATAGCCAAACTGCGGATGCTAACCCACCTCCTAAGCATGGCAACTACTGACAAAACCTTCTTCATGGAGGAGGCCTATGTTCAGTGGTGGATAGTTAATACCATAGCTATCAGGATCAGCGACCGAAGTAAGGCTTTGGTGATGTTTAACCCTTTTTTTTCTGTTTTACGTCAGGAAAAATGCACACACAGCTTAGGGACCGTGTGGGTACTGCCGGACTCCTACCGGCTAAATAACCTGACGATATACCTCCCATCTCATAATAGCGACGGTGCCGCGGGTTCCCGCTTTGAAGTCTACCGGGACACTGCCAGAAACCCATCGAAGGGTGACTCCCTATAGGCGCGCAGGGTATATGCTGCGCGCCCACTCTCGGTCTCCATTCCTCTCGTGATGGGCTTTGGATGTTTGGTGATGTTTAACCCTCCGCCAACCGTGTGTTTTTTTTGCACACCGTCAACCGTCACGGACGATATCGTCCCAGACGATAATTTGACCTACTTAAAGGTACCTACTACTACTTAAAAAAATCCAAAAAAATTCGGGGTATATGTTCTAGATTTCTTTTTTCTGTTTCCATAGTTTTTGATTGAATACTTTACCCGCTGGTGAAATAAAATTTTGTAAGCTCTACAAAAACTGTAATTTCTAAGATTTCACTGAAAATCGATATCTTGGATATAAATTAGTTTTAAAAAGAAATGTTTTGGTGATTTATTCTTCATATAAGTGCCTTTCAAAACCTTGCCTGTGAGGTACGCGCGTGTGTAAATTTTTTTAACAGAGGGGTTTGAGGCCCCGTCCTTTTTTTCTTACAAAGATATGCAACAGGTCCAAACTTGGCGCGGACGTTATTGTCCTATACGGTTGGCGGAGGCTTAAAAAGGGATTCTACTGCCCATCCCTCTACCATAAATTTCCTTAGTCGCCTCTTACGACGTCCTCAAGTAAGAGAGAGGTTCCGACCATTCTATACCGGAACCACACGCGATACTGACGTACTACATCGTACGTAAATAACTTAAAAATATTCCATCAGATCTTCCGCGATGAGACAGACGGCACTCGATGGTCGGGTCTCGGCGGTGAACCAACTGCGGAAGAATGCGGGTGGTGTGGTGGAGTCGCGTTGGCTGGAGGCAGAGCTGGTCTCTTCACCACAGCACCGGTGACCGACAGCGGCGGCATCTGGCGACACGCTGTCAGACTGTCTCAAGACACGAAGACAGCGTTAACACAGGGAAACTTTGAGATCACTCAGCTCGTAGGATGGGACGATAGAAGAAGATTATTGTAAGTAACTATTCATATTATTTGCAGCGCTAGTTGAATTAAGTTTAATAAATTAAGTTCGCTTTTCACATTTCAATTCTCGATCGGACAATTTAGGTAACTGTATTAATCTAACTCGAGTATGGGTACGTTTTTTTTTACAACACAGGGTGCAAACGAGAATGCATCTCACCTGATGGTAAGTGACTACCGCCGCCCATGATCACCCACAACACTAAGGGCATTGCAGGTGTGCTGGCGGCCTTTTAAAAAGGAATATGCTCTTTTCTTAAAGGTTATGATGTCGTATCGGTTCGGAAATACTGTTGGTGGATGTTGATTCCAAAGAATGGTTGTGCGTTGAATAAAGTGTCTTGAAAAACGCACGGTGGAAGACCGCCACTCGTTCAAATGATTAGGATGAAACTAATTGTTGGGATGTTGCTAATTGTCTGGTATTATGTAACAAAGACTCACAAAGAAATGCTCTTCAAGCTAAGAATACTTGTATTATGAGAAATTAAATAACGAATGTCTATAGGCATTATAGCAAACAGCCAATATAATCCAAAATACCTGCTTAGAAAGTCTTAACTCCTAAATGGATCTAACCGAGAACTAAACTCTCTCTAACTTTGAACGCAAATGCATATATGCAAAAGATCATGCCTTATGCATGCTTAAACTGCATGCCTGGCGGGGAGGGGGGGAGAAGAGCACGATCCTTAAATAAGGTGCGATTCCGAAAGTAGCAGAAGAGAGAAGTTCCTCATATAAATACGCCTCTACCAATCACTGAAACCAAAATACCCCAAATTATCATTTATCTGATTATAAGTTTTTTTTATTTATAAACATTTAACTATTGTAAGTTTGTGGTTTTTCTTCAGGTACCTCATAGGAACAACGCCAGACAAAGCCGGAGAGCGACACCTATACCGAATATCTATACCAGCAGACGACATGACCTGGCCACCACCAGCGCACTGCCTCACCTGTCCAGGAGCTGAATTACTCCCACCTGATTCCACAGTAGAGCCAACGAGTGAAGACCCAGTATGTACTCGTATTCATGATTAGGCAGAAATAAAAAAAATCAGGAGTCATTGACATCTCTGTGGAAATAGCTTAAATATACAATAACTTTTTTTTTATAGTACAGCAAACAAACCATGTGACCTGTCTGATTCCCGCCGCTAATAGATGTTTAATGCTTCCTCGTGAGCCTATTCGTGAGAATGAGGCAAAAGAAGTTATTATCTTTACGTTACCCTATAAATACACAGTCATATACTTTCAAACCAAAACACAGCCATGCTAGACAATAAATGGAAGATCATCCCTATTAAATAAAAACATGAATCTTATATGAATAGTTTAATGAACGCGAAGAAAAATGTCTGTAAGTCAATCCATTTTGATATTATTTGATATCAGCTTATTACCTAGAAATAAGACAAATCAATTTATACAGGATATGGGCAATTCCACATCAGCACTACCAGCCTGGCCTACGTCGACCGTCCTGCCGCATGTGGCGACAGAGAACGACACATTGCCCACCACCTGCCTCTACAACCGAGTTATGTTCAGCAAGAACTTCTCTTATTATGTCCAGGTATGTACTCGTATAGTGTTTATTCATGATTTCATATCGATAGAATGAAAAGAAAGAAAACTGCTATCGAAAATTCATAGCTTATGGCTCAGGACCAGTTTGTCATCAGATGAACCGTATGCCTGATTGCCATCGTTCTATAGAAATGCAGAAGATTAGAAATTATATTTTTTATTCGCATCTATTACCGGCTTTGAAAAGGGAGCGAACGTGATCCAAGAAATGCCACGAACGAAGTGTCTATAAAGAGCCGCATTAAATTCAAAGTTATTAATTTTGACTCAACAGGACTAACGCCAGAAGGAACTATCCAATACTGTTAGATTGGAATCCTCGACAGCTCACTCAGTACCCCAGGAACCTTTTTTTCAGGCCATCAAAATTCGACCGTCAAAAGTTTAAAAAAACTATAGTCAAAGTTTCCATCTTGAAATAGTGTACTGGAATTTATCAGATCTCTTCGTCATTTCCTCCAGGAGTGCCTGGGTCCTGGCCCCCCAGCGACCTTCCTGTGCTCATCAACGGGGGTCCGCCGCGCCGTGCTGTGGGACGGGGCACCTCTCCGCCACAAATTTGCAGCCCTCGCACAACCGCAGTCCAAAGTTTTCAGAGTCGAGGTGAGAGAGAAAAGAAAAAATCATATATGCAGAGTAGAGGCCATCTCTAAATAGTATACAATAAAATTAACGTCTATCTGTTTCTACACTTGCTTCAAGAGTGCAAGCTCTTTCAGATTTTCATACGCATTTCACTGTCATTTTTTATAATATTTTTACAGAAGATTTGTACAGAAATAAAAATCCAGCTATTTAATAGATGAAGAAATGAGAAATTTAAATTATTTGCACTCACAAATTAATCCATGTTCATCCTGTTTTTGTTTGCCTATTTGTTTTCTTGTAATTTTAGGTACAGACCAATCGCGAAGCTCGGGTACGACTCCTACTGCCTCCAGGATTCAGGGAGACGGATGATCTGCCTCTACCACTAGTATTACACGTGTGAGTATAGAGTTATTCCATTGTTATACAAAAAACCTGAGAGATCAAAGAGAAATACGTCTCTAAAAATAGAATTTGGTTACCATACAATACCATTTGTAATCAATGTTCCCGAAAGCAAAGCCAAACTGAGAGTTTCATGACTTATAAAGAAAAATTTTATTGATTAATGATGGACTTGTTATTGATCAGTTCAGCGCAGCCGGGTGGGCAACTGGTGACAGAGAAATGGTGGCCGGACTGGGGCTGGTACCTTGCAGCCGCCAGGAACTTCATTGTCGCCGAAATTGATGCCAGGGGATCTGGTGGTCAAGTTAGTGTCTACAAGTGTAATTTTTTTTTTTTTTATTACTATGTCAACGTCAAAGGATTCGGAACACTGTTACTCGTTGTCACAGTTATCACACTATTATAAGTAAGAGATATCATATGCTGCGATAATGTTGAGCTGTCATTCATGAGGATTAAAATGTCATGCAGAGATGACATACTCTCTAATTTCACTACGATATCCCTCAATTTAAGTCAAAATATAATAAAAATCTTTTAAAAAATAATTTATTTACAGGGTGAAGATCTGAGAACTGAGATATACAATAAACTGCTTTCGGTGGACGTTGAGGATCAAATAGCTGTTCTATCGTAAGTATCGTAAAGAATAATAAAAAAGAAAGTTTTGCGTATTTTCGCTTTAAATCACTGCAGATTGATAAACAGCACAATTTGAATTAATAAATTAATCTATGTTATATATAATTTATATATAATTAAAGCGCTGGTAATTAATGTTCCTTTCCACTCAGAGTTTGCTGGTAGAGAACTCTCAAAGAGTTAAGCTCGCCTATTGTACATCTACATTTAATATAAGTTATAACAATATAATTTTTGTGTACAATAAAATATAGATAAATAAATTTAATACATTTCTTCAAATGAAACGGGTATTCGTTATTGTTATACGGTCCTAAAACTTATTAATAATTATTGCATATATAATTTATAGGTACACGTAGTTATAGCGTAGACATGGAACTAATTACTACTTTGAATCCATTGTCATGTAATGTCTTTATTTTTCATTAGCGCAATTATTTCTGTTATGAAAAATCACAGTTTTTTTTTTCACTTGTTATGAAATATGAATTATATTTTTGTGTTTTTGTCTATCTGTTCGCTCGCTCTTTATTACGACCCCATCAGTCGTTGGGAATGCTCAATTAATATTTCATTATACTCTTAACCGACTCACAAAAATTAATACACGAAAATTTAAACGCAGCGACACATTGTGATTTTTCACTGACATAAATAACAGTTGTGAATGTAATCGAATGATATTTCACAAGCTACTTTGAAATATTGTAAATCTATAGCGTTGTTGTGGTATGGTACAGGTATCTGCGCGACAACTTAAAGATGGTGGATGGGGCTCGCGTGGGCGTGTGGGGCAGCGGGTACGGGGGCGGCGCCGCCGCCGCGCTCGCAGCCGGCGACGCGCGCAACGTCACTCGCTGCCTCGCCGCCGTCGCGCCGCTCACAGACCTCGCGCATTATAGTCAGTTGTCGTTTATTTTCCTAGTTTGTCCTATAAAATACTTATGATATATTAGGATATCAACAAAAAGTTCATTTAAATACGCTAGAATTTCGTTGGTCACGGAGAGTTACAATTGAAGTTCTAGCAGTTATAACTACCTACTAACTGTTATAACCGTTATAACGGTCTTATTTGCGAATGATTAAACTGTAAAAAAGTGTTGTAGTGAAATTTTTTTGCAAAAAGAGCGTATTAACGTTTCTTAAGGGTAGGCAACGTATTTGTGACGCCCCTGTGGTACAATAAAGGAGTTTGTAGCGTTTCTAATTGTGTATTATTACTATAATGTTCATGTATATAAAACATTTGTTAATTGTATAGTTAATTTGAATATGTTTATTTTCCTTAGACTCGTACTGGACGGAGCGGTACAGCGGCGGCGGCGGCGGCGGCGGCGGCGGCGGCGGCGGCGGCGCGGTGTGGCGGCGCGCGGGCAACCTGCCGCCGCGGCGCCTGCTGCTGGCGCACGGCACGGCGGACCTGGCCGCGCCCGCGCACCACGCGCTCGCGCTCGCGCGTGCACTCATCCGCGCCGGCGCACTCTACACGCACCTGGTACGTACCGCCCGGTACCAGCAAATACATTTTCCCCATAAGGAAAGTTTTAGCAATAGTTTTTTTTAATGGATGATAAAGGAATAATAATCCCACCTGCGCTGACAGTATACACTGGTAGGGCACCGGTGAGGGATGACAGGTGAGAATGAAAGCAAGCAAGCTCACAGTGATGAATTCATAAAAAAACAATCATGATGGTTTCCAGGGGGAACCGTGTGAAAGTCGACCTAATAAAGTATATTGTTAATTATATTCTAGTCCCATTACTAACAATCCCTTTCCCCCCCTCCATTCCCTTTTGCCAATAGTTGTTACGCTTGGCATGCGGGTTGGTAACCGTAGTTAGGCTTTGAAAATATTTTTAGAGAAACGCTGCTGTCCATCCCTCGCCCTCTTAATCGCCTTTACGACACCCACGGAAAAGCAAAAGATGGCCTATTCTATAAATTCTTTCGCAAACTCAGGTAGCATCAATTTTTTTTTTTTAATAAATGTTAAATGAAAAATATATTTTTCAAATATCATTGTATTACAGGTGTACCCTGACGAAGGTCACGACTTCGGAAAGTCCTCGATCCATCTGCACAAGGCTATGGAGCAATTCTTCGACGAGTGCTTCGGTCCGGTGGAAGTGGCTGACTGGGACGCGGGTGGGGTGGGCGGACTGTTCCCATTCCGTGACTAGTCAGAACCTGAGGGGTAGTCGTACCCCGACTGTGGCTGTTGAATTCTACTTGCCTATTGAACTTCTTTTTGTATTGTTTAATAACAATATTTAGGCAATACAAAATCGCCGGCAATAAGAACTGTCGTCCATTCTTGTTTTCTCAGTTGTAAATAGGTTCCTTGTACTATTTCTTTATGTATTTTCATTTTGTTTACATAATAATACATATAACATAAAATTAACAAACTCACTGTATTTGTTTTGAACAATTGTCGGAAAATTGAAAATACAGTAAGCTCCTTAATTTCCCGTTATGTATGTATATAGACAACAGATAAAAAATCATCAACATCAGTTTTAAAAATAATACTTTCATTCTGTTCAATTAATTTAAAACAAAAGCGGTTTTAATGTTTTTAAAAGTATTTAATTTCGATTTATTTGTAAGACTAGAGAATACGATTCAAACAGCCAAATTGATTAATCTAGAACAAAAAAACTCTTAGAAAAAAATGTATGTAACGTAATCGATAATCGATTCAATTGGTAACAAATGCTAGAAAAATAAATTCATTGAATTTTTACTAGATACTGGTGATAGAAAAACAATCATAAATGATCTTGTATGGAGTAATTTTTCCTTTTACAACGACGGAATAACGCAAGAATACAGTTACAAATTTATCGATAAAAATTTACGCCTAAAGTAACATTTTGACGTGTCATTTTGACTATAACACTTCTCGATTAAGACAGACCCATAAGAGCCAAAGTATGACTTCCAAATCGATTTTATTGTGAGTGTTTGTGTATAAGATGTGGTGTTCAACCCGGAAGATCGGCACCATGACGCTTTCGCTGTGAATATTTTTTTATTATAGACAATTAAGAATAAAACATTAGCTATTATTGGCAACACTGGCAGTTACAGTCTTTAGATAAATAACTCGTATGTCATAGAGTTCTTTATCTATTTTCTTTTTTATATTATTTTTTAATCTATCTGCGGATATGTTGTATTTCTCTAATTCAGTTACATGATGTTTTAAACATACTTCTGTCATTTTATCAGTGATAATCATATATTTATTGACAGAATTTTCCATTACGATATCAAAACGTCGCTATAAAAGCAAAAGCACTTTATTACTGACTTTGTAAAACACTATCGTACACGCATAGATAGAACTATGCGTACAAGTGTTCCAGGAAATTGATAGGTGTTGAACTACTTATGGGGGCCCTCCCCATAGATAGCCATATTTTAGCAGTAGACAAGGAATAGCTGAAATAATGAATAACATTTTATCTTCTATTCTATATACAGACTTCATAATCATTGCCTCGCCTTTTCCTCATTATTCAGAATTCACATATTATGTTTGCTTCATCTACTGTTTTATTTTCAGCCCTTATACCAACCTCCCTAGACAAATGGCAAATAAGTTTATTAATATAACAGGTAATATAATTGTAACAGGTGTGATATTCGATCAACAAGAAAAAATCACAAACTATGAAGTTTCACAGACTATATAACTGTGAAATGAAAAATAATTGCATGATAAAAAATTTAAATTAAACAATCCTTTCCATGCCTGATTGATAAATATGTTAGCTGTTTCTTCTTATGCGCACGTCGACGAAAACGTACCTACTAACATTTGTCTAAATGAGTTGAGCTCGCTCTAGTGCATATCTTCTTTCACAAAGTCTATTCGTTCATCCATTTTTATGTTGCCATCCCTTACTTCACATCCACTTTCATATTCAACATTTAAAACGTAGCGTTCAAATCTCCACATACTAGATATGTAAAATTATCATGTAATAATAGATATTATATGTATGAAATACCTAAATTGTTCAGAAACTATAGTATCGGAGTTACAGCTCCTGACATTCTCTTATGATTATTGTAAGAAAGTTCTATTTTATTAGTGCGTAATGTATCAACCACCTTTCTATATATTCTTCTATGTCGCTTTAAATGTCAGAATAGAGAGAATAATAGCAACAGATCGAAAATAGTTTAAGGAAAATACATAACTGTATAGATAATCTGTTTTTCTGTATTTGACACGACTATTAAATAATAGTGGTGTGGTATGCCTTTTTGTAGAATTTCATTCGGTCATTCATTTATAACCTGTAGTGCTCTACTGGTTCACCTTTTATTATCTATATTTTTAGAATGTAATCAACAATAAAATAGAAATAATAATATGCGTATATAGAAACAAAACAAAAACTTTTTTTATTTATTATATGCATTTTTTTTTTTCTATAAAAAACATGCCAAGATTGTTTACTTTATAGGAAAACAGATTATACCTACTTAGTAGTTGAATATTTCAATTATTAAAAGAAAAATTTATGCCAATTTCTTTGTGATTTATTTATTTTCGAATAATTACTTTTTTAAATAATAAAAAAAAAAAGAAGTATCCAATATCTATGATCTGGGAGTCAAAGTCGTTATAGTGGTGATTGATAATTGTGATCTTAAAAAAAAATATTTACAATTCATCTGACAGTTTGTAGAAACATAACGATGGACAATGAAAATATTTCAGTTTATAAGAAAAGTTAGTCTGTAAACTAAGCAACACTGAATAATTAAAAATACCTATGATGATGTTAGTAACTTTGCCTTAATATTTTATACAGTTTCTTTCAACATTTATACAATTTGGCATTAACAGTTCATATAATCTTTCGATGAATTGTAAATTATGAATCATTTTACAAATTTGATACGAATCATCAAAATGACCGTTTTAGACTCCCTAAGGTAAAGGTCGTATATTACATTATAATATTAGGTACACTATCGAATAGGTCCATATGGCCGTTTTTAAACGAATCTAATAACTTAATTACTTATGCACGTTCCATATCTGTAAAATGTTTATAACCTTATCAGTAGTTTAGGAATCATCTTTTGAGATTACTTTTTATTTTAACTTTCGGTTTAAACTCCTGTAATGAGGAGGTCGTTGATATTCGCGACACAGTTTTATACTTCTGCGGATATCATCGTTTTTCAATATTATTGTAACGAATGTTTTTGTTCCAAATAAAGAATTATTATTATTATTATGGTACATATGGTATAATTACAACGTGGTCCTAATTTGATAGTGTAATATAATAAATACTCCTAAGAAAAGTAATTTTTATCAAGTTCTCGTATTAGTTAAATACCTTACCGTACCTTAAAATAGACATCCAGGTCGATTCTGAAGTGCAACCTAAACCTATCTTTTAATTTGATATTTATATTATATGTTATGTTGTCAAGAAAACTGTATTAAAAATAAGTAGTTCTGACTCTAATAAAATTATAATAATGAGTTCGCATTTAGAATTTTTGATATATATATAGAAAAATTAATCTTCAGAATCGACCCCATTCCATTTCACTTATCAAAATAAAAGAAATATTTTCAACTACTAGAATGAAAAATACAATTATTGTACCTAGGATATTATAGATTTTAGTATTAGTACTAAACTATATTTCAATGTCTTTTAGTTTAATTTTATTTTAATAGGCATATATACTATACATCAGGTACTACATACTGCTTGTACCTTTTAATTCGAAGCAGTTAATGAGACTGTGTTGTTCTTTAAGCTTCTCACAGTTTAACAACTAATTATTCTATTTATATTAAATACCTACTCGTTTTATTTTAGATTCTAGTCATTGTCTAGTCATTTGTAAAATTGATTGAATAGCGCGCCATCTTTTACGACGCGAGTGACAAAGAATAAAATTTGAATGAGAACGAACGAATGAATGAAATCTTTTAAACTATTCCCATCACTAAATTAGAATAATAATAATAAAAAAGTCAGCGATATTCGTGACTAAAATTGTGATAGGTGTTTTTATTTAATAAATAATATATACATTTAATATTGAATTTTTCGTAATTAATTCAATGAATAAACGTATCGGACGAATATTGGATGTTGATTGGAAATAAATTAAAAAAAATTAATGTAGGTTATTCCTGCATTGTCCGTCAGTATTTTTATATAATTAAAACGAATTTTAAATGTGTAGTCAAAAAGTTACAAGTTTAAAATGTAAATGTTGTCCTACTTTGCAAAGGAACAGACAGGCTTCAGAGCAAGTACTGAGTGATCATTTAAACCTCGTGTAGGCGTATTTGAAGAAATTGTTAGTAATGGGCTCATTGTTAGCAATATATCAGACCGACCTCCACGCGGTTGCCCCTAGAAACCGTCATGGTAAATTTTTTTTAATTCTCTAATAAGTGCCCCACCAGCAGTGGAATAATTACTCCATTGTCACATATTAAAAAATAGGTTTATTTGAGGGATAGTGGGTATTTCGTGCCCACCTCTAAACTGACTGATGCCCACCTCACGCTCTAAGCAAAACTTCACTATGATATCTCTGAGAGTACATAATAATGTATTCCTTTTCTAAGCAGCCAAGCCCACCTTAAAAATTATTTCATGTACGCCACTATTTTATACAACAGGACACAATGCGCCCTATAGATATTTCTTTCTAATTAGCTAATCTCGCTACATACACGAGTGGCAAACAGAACCATTAATATGTATATTTGTTATCACTACAGAATGCATTTGATAAAACGAGATAGCAACATTTGACGTTTCGTTCAATCTCACACGTGCGCTAATAATAATCCACTGACAGATTTGCTTCTCACTTATCTAGAGGGCTGATTAAATTACAAATCTCCAAATATAACCAAATTGATCGCATTGTTTTGTCCATTTCCCGATATTTTATGAAAGTATCAGTCAGGCCGTTTCTTATAAATAACTCTAGTTATTTATCTAATATCTGTAAACCTACCATGAAATGATTTCCGAAATTTCGGGGACGACCGAAACTGAAATTTGATGTTAAAATTACATAATACATGCCGTTTAAAATTATTAAGAATGTTAAAATATCGTTCCTCTGGACTATTAGGATAGGATTTATGATGGACGAAATGTTAAGCTCCATTTACTGGCTCGATTTCGGTATAAACAAAAACACGAAATTGAGCGCGAAAATTCGGAATTTCATTTCATGGAACACCACCTGTTTTCTACTTACGTTGGTAACATTGGGTCCGATTCTGAAGCGCGATTTTCCTAAACTAATCACTTAATCTAATATTTTAATTTGATAATTTTGCGAAATTATTATTGTATGGACCATCATAAACTAAATTTAAATTAATTTGGTTCATATATATGAAATTCTAATATATATTACAATTTTAGTTTATATTGGTCCTTAGAATATTAATTTTACTATTTCAGAGACAAGTTTAGAAAAATCAAGGCTCAGAATTGACACTATTATTGTCTACGGAAAAAAACTTGTAACTTTTTAATTCTAAAATATTTAATAATAGTATTGCTGATAATATAATTTAGAGTGTTCAGCAGAGTAAATGAAACATTTTCCAAAATTCTCCATCACTTTTTAGCGTGGGAATCCTTAGGATCTATTATTGTTCAAAGGAATAAAATTGTTAACTAAATTGACTCCCACACCGTCACGTAGATATCTATGCAAAATTAAGTAATTTACCATAGATAGACCAAAAACACAATAAAATTAAATATAATATGGCAGAATACAATACATTCCTTTGTTGAATTCTCTAAAAAGAATAATAATAGCCAATAAAATGCACGTAGATTACCTATGTTGAATTTATCCCCAAGTTTAATAATAAAATATATTTAAATAAAACGATTAGCTATAAATGAGAAACAGCACATTGCTATGTTCATAAATATAAATAAATGTTTTAAACGATGCTCAGTGGACGATAACATTGTTTATTTATGTTGAAATGTTGTTTTTATAAGAAAAAATAAAATGTTGTTCCCAATACAACAGTGTTGTAATCATTTTACACCCAATATTGTATCATGTACTATGGGTACGGTATGCACTGATTGTCCCAACTCCACCCGACGAATCGACTCTGAATCATATCCGTACCCGGGGGGGTGGGGGGGAGAAGGATTGTTAGTAATAGGGAGGTTTTTTAATGAGTGATAATGGAATGGTAACCCCACCCGCGTTATCGGTATACACCGGCGGGGCACCAGTGAGAGATGATAGATGAGGATGAAGCAGGTCATCAAGCACGATGATTTCCAGGGGGAACCACGTGGAGGTCGACCTGATAGGGCATATTGCTAGCAATGTCGAACTCGATTGCTAATAATCCTTTTCCCCCCAGTAATAGGGAGGTTAGTCCCTACTGTTATCAATATACCCCATCAGGTCGACTTCCACATTTCCCTTTCCCTAGAAATCATCTTGAGTAATTTATCGTTGAATTCGTCACGATGGGCTGACATCCCATTTCATCCTCACCAATCATCCCTCACTGGTGCCCCGCCAGTGTATACCGATAGCGCAGGCGGGGTTACCATTCCATTGTCATCCATTAAAAAAAATCTATACCCTGGCAACACGAGAACACGACTGGATAGTGCTATCCAATCGGCCCCACCACCACTATCGCTTACGTCAACAGCATACGCACGAGAAATTTTTTTTTTAGTGTACAGCCGTGAAACATGGTCGTAATAAATTTTTTATACAACTCAGAATGGCAAACAAGCTGACGGCCCACCTGATGGAAAGTGGTAACCGTCGCCTATAGACATGAGCAGTACCATGGACATAACAGAGTATACCGTTTCGCCCATGATACCCCCCATGCGTTCCCATTCCTGAGAACTCAGGTGTTATTCCTCTGTACCTAGTAAATTCACTGCCATATCCCACCCTTCAAACTGAAACACAGTTGTGCAAATAAAAAAAAAGAATCATGTATGAAGTCCATTAAAAGTCAAACTACACCAACTGATTGGAATCACATTTATTACATATCTTACAGAGTTAAGTTATTGTTTGCTTATATTACATTGTCTACTCTATTGCCGAGGAAGCGAGGCGCCGGCCGCAGACATAGCACCACAGAGCCATCTGTAGAATTAAATATAAATAACATTAACTTTAATAATTCATAAAAGACGCTGTGTGGTCCCGGCATAGAATGGGCCACAGTTTCCTTTTCCATGGGTGTCGTAAGAGGTGACTAAAGAAACTTAATAGTCGAGGGATGGGCAGTAGCGTCCCTCTAAACACATCACTAAAACCTAAGTGTGGTTGCCAACCTGCCTACCAAATGTGGCAACTGAAGGAGATCTATGTTCAGCAGAAGTACTGTTCCTGTATACTGGTGATCATCACATTCCATCTGGTGAAATTTCAACTTACAACAGTATTCTAAATTGTTCTCATTATTATTTTAAATTACTAATAATTAAATAAAATAATATTTGGCTAATTGAGATTGTGTTCCTCAAAAAATAACAATTTTAATTGTGACAAAATTGGCTATTTGGATTTAAAAAATAAAGCAAATTTTGATAAAATTTCTATAGCACCAATCTGTATATATATCCCTACAAATAAAAAAAGTATTTTTTTTTTATCTAAAGGGATATATTGATGAAAATGGATTTACAACTGACGAAGTTATGAGGCAGCAAACATAAATAGAATCGAATCGAGAACCCGCTTCTTTTTTTTGAGTCTGTTGTATTTGGTGGGTTCTTATATTGTATGTAATATTTAATAAGAAGAATGTAATTCTATTTACTTTTTATTATCACTAACAACAGGATCATTGGACGTAATTAATTTGTAAAAAGCAAGTGACAGCAGACAGCTCAAAAGTATGACATAGGTCATTTGACACTTCAGTGTTGAGGTGCTGACAGGACTGGGTGCGTTCCGAGCATACGTAACAGAGTCTATTGAAAATACAGATAAATCGATGGAATCAATACAAGAGTAAATCCTGTCTATTTCACAAAATCATCTTATTTATATGTTGTAAAAGACTAATTAAGGAGCATTTACTTTTGAAAACTATGTAGAAATAAAGTACAATTTATAGTAAGTTTACTATTGTAATCTTTTGGAGGAAACAATAAAGAGTATCTATCTATCTATCTACAATCAAATGGCAGTGATGCTTATTGAAAATCTAATGTAATAAGTATATAAATATATATAACTACTTAGTACAAATAAATAATTTGATTTGAACCTCTTCTTGAAAAGTACTTAAAAAATAGAGTGTCGAATAGCAGCGATACTCACAGCGGGCCAGCTTACTTCCAGCGGTTGTTCTCGTAGTCCCATTTGGACGCGAGCCCGTCCACCGGGTTGACCTTGAGGTCGAGCATGCGCCGCAGCTGCGCCTTCTGGCGCTCCTCGCTGAACGTCTCCGGTATAGGGCTGTACACTGTGACAATCATTACAGCATTTATTTAAACTAGGGTTGCCAATATTTTGTCAGCGGATTAAAGTATTTTTTCAAGTTAAGCTATAAAAAATATAGTTCTTGGAAAGATGTAAAAAAGAGGAACATATAATAATAGATTCAACATTTACATGTCTATTTATGGCGAAACATGTACTAATGCTTTTTATATGTAATACTTTGCATTTTAAGTTTCAAGTAAATAATAATTAAATTAAATGTTTATTTTTTTAAAAAAAAGAAAAAAAGAAAATTTATTTTACAAGAAATATGCGACAACACCCACACAGGGGTTAAAAAAAAATCCATATATTAAGAATTATAATAAAGAAACAACACAAAATATATATATATAAAATTAAAAAAGAAAGCCTACATTGTTTAAACTTGTTACATCCTTAAACAATTTTTTTGTTCACAAAGGAAGTACTCATATTAAATGTTTTCTCGCATTTAACGTTTTAATTAATAATATTAATATGTCTGTAAATTACAGAATACGGAGGCATAATATAATAGTCTTAAAGAATGACAACACATATTAGAAATACTGTACACATGATTTACCAGAGGGAGACTTTGTACAAAAGTCGATTGCTTGGGTACCTCTTCCCATTCGTGTTTCAACCGTGAAGCAGTTTTGTTTGCATGGCTGTGTTTCGGTTTGAAGGGTGGGGTAAGGCGTGAATTTAATGGGTACAGAGGAATAACACCTGAGTCCTCAAGAATGGCAAGGCATGGGAGATATCATGGGCGAAACAGTATACTCAGTTATGTCCATGGTACTGCTCATATCTATAGGCGATGGTTATCACTTTCCATCAGGTGGACCGTCAGCTTGTTTGCCATTCTAAGATGTATATAAAAAAAAAAAACACGGCGATATGCAGTGCTGTTTGTATCTACAGGCTATGGTTACCACTTTCCATCAAATGGGCCGTCACATTCTGATTCATGTACAGCATCACAAACATGGCAGAATATGTTCCGATACCTATAGTACCGCCTTTCCTGAGGACTACAATGTTATATCTATGCACCCCGTAATTTCATTGCCATATCTTATTAACATTCAAACTGAAATACAACCATGCAACCATAGCTGCTGGTGGGGGGAGGAGAGATTGTTAGTAATGCGGACTATCAGTCCCATTGCTAGCAATATATACTTTCAGGTCCACCTTCACGTGGCCCCCCTGGAAACCATCGTACTGACTACCGTGCTAACTAACTAACGTACTGAATTCCAATTTTATTCATAACGATGGGCTAACTGACCTGCCTTTTTCATTCTCATCTATCATCCCTCACTGGTGCCTCGCCAACGTATACTGTTAGCGCGGGCGGGGTTACTATTCCATTATCATCCATTAAAAAAAACCATAGCTGCTTTAATAGCAAACACAAATGGAACTAAGTACGGATGGGGATGACTTATGTAATAAATCACTCCTCTTTAGTAAAAAAGAATAATGTTTCTATACTAACCAAAGAGTTTCATGCCCATATAGATCCAGACAGAGATGGAAGCGATTGCCAAACCCCATCCAACGACCGCCTTCCATTCGCCAGTGGGCGCTTGGAACTCGGCGAAAGTCTGACAGAAGGACGCGCGGTATAGCGCCTTTTTCTCTTCGAGGGTCAGTTTTCGCCAGTCTCCCTTTTCTTTTTCGCGGAGAATCTAAAATAAAAAAAATATAAACAAACTTGTAAAATATTTGTGCTTTTTTATTTTCATTCTTTTATCTCTTTTGTTGTGTATTATGTGTATGTTTTTTTTATGGTAATCTGTGTGCTGTAAGTAATGTAAATAAATTATCTATCTATCTATTTCTGCACTGCTAGAAACAGTTTTTTTATGTTTTAATAGGAATGCATAATTTCAATGCTGTCTTAGTATTCTAGCTTATTATAGCTTTAAGTTACTCAGCGGGCTATTGTGAGGGCTATACTAGGAGTCTCATCTCATCAGTCAGAGTGAATATTGTAATTTATAAGACTTTAAGGTACCTTACGTAATAACAGCTTTTTCAAAAAAAAAAGTTATAAAAGAGAGGATGGTTCTGAAAATATAGAATTATTGATATACACATACCTTGATATCAGGGGTGTCGGGGCGGAACCTAACAGCGGGCAGGGGGAAGTCGGGCCTGTCAGCGTAGTTGGGCTGTCCATTGTACCCGTAACCCACCCACTCGCGGTTTCCAACCTGTTTGGAGAGTAATCAATATATTTAAAAATATTTTTTTATATAATTCAGTGTATAGTTTGTTTAATTTTTGAATCAATTTTAAATGACAAAGAAGCTGACAAACTACCTGATGGAAAATGTTAACCATTCTTTATAGAAATTAACACAATCATGAATATGACACAATATGCTGCAAATATAACCATACACAAAGTGCATTGTGAGTGCATCCTTGATTCTGCTTAGGGGGAAATAATTGTTAGTAGTCTGCATTACTAACAATTATTTCCCTTATTAATTTTAACCAGTTCCATTATTAACAATATACCATGTCAACTTCCATGTGGTTCCCCCTGGAAACCATCATGCTGAATTCTAGGTTTATTTGTTTAGGTCATTTATTTATTTATTACTCTTTATTGACCACATTACAAAAAAAATTAGTGGTACAAAAGGTGGACTTAATACTATATAGCATTCTCTCCCAGTCAACCTTTGGCTAAACAGAAATTTTATATTAGGTGTATTCATCACGATGGGCTAACTGACCTGCATTTTCATTCTAACTAATCCCTCCCTGGTGGCCTGCCAGTGTTAACTGTTAACACGGACAACATGATGGGCCAACTGTTTTGACCTCAATTTCAGCCTTCACTGGTGCCCCATCATTATGCACTGTCAATATAGGCAGATGCACCATTCTATCTTTATCCAATAAAGCTAATAATATACACTCATCCCTCAACAAATAATAATATTTACACATCTTTTAAGTGAAAAGGAAGTAGTATTTTTAACAACCCTCATGGTGCAATGGTGAGCATATTGCTTTGCACAAAATGAGGTCTATGACCCCAATTTTATACAATTTTGTACAATTCCCAATTCAACCAATTTAAGTGAATCGTATCAGATCTGGGTGTTTTGGATACAATCAAATGTTTGTTACATGATTCCTCATAATACAAAATCTGACACTTATTGTCTATCTTGTACGTACCTTTGCGAGTTCGCTGACGGACCTGGCTCCAGCAGGTACGCGGACTGCTTCTAGCAGTGCACGGCGCATCAGGTAATTGGCCATATTGCTAAACACACAATATAAATAAAACTGTTACTTACCACATAAATACATAGAATCAAATCAATAGATTTTGTATATATGTTATATTTTTATAGTGGGGAGTAAGGGATTGTTAGTAATAAGGTATCCAACAGCATTATTGCTAGTAGCCCTATCAGATTAACCACTAGTTCCCCCTAGAAACGCAATAGCAGTTAATTCTTGTAGAATTCATCATGATGGTACAATTGACCTGTCTTCATTCTCACCAATCACGTCTTACTGATGCCCAACCAACATATACCATTAGCACGGATAGGGTTAACATTCCATTATCATCCATTATGTAAAATTTTTTTTAATAAATACTTGAAGTATCTTTTATACTTAAACATTCAGTTACTTATTAGTACAAAAATATGGATATATAAAATACATAAGGCAGTACGCATTATGTATTTACTTGATGCTAAGAGCTTTTCTCCTAAACCAAAATTAGATGATAAGTAACTTACTTTAATATTGTCATTTATAAGATTATAAGTCCTCATATCGGCCTTTATCTGTCTACTGCTGAACTTATCTTCCCCCCTGGGAGCTTTAAATAGCAGTTGCCATGCTTGACAGCCAGATTGGCAACCGCAGTCAGGCTTTAGTGATGATTATAGGTAATTTGTCATAATACTCTATCAATAAATCCTATATATCAATAAATTCTGTCGTTTTCACAGTGAAGCAAAAGCAAATGCATTTTCCTAATTGATAAGTTTCTAGGTTGCCCTATTTCAGTATTATTATGGAAAATGTCTGCTAAGTATCATAAAACCCTAAAGAAAAATACACCTGTCTGCAGTCAAAGGTTTTAAGATAACACATAAGTCAAAAAGCTAGGTTATTTCGCTACAGGGAATCGATAATGAGTTACATAATCAGATATTTTACCGACCTTAATGTTTTTTATAGAATAAGGACAAATGAGAAGCGTCAAGTTTGTGGATTAAATCGAAAATACAAGTAAAACAAAGCACAAACCTGATTTACAATTAAAAATTTAAATTTCGAATTACGACAGAAAAAAATTGATGCCTTATTTTTTTACCTAAAGACGTAACAAAACTTTACCTGTAGAAATGAAAATACTGAACTTAAATAAAATTACCACATAATTGTAAAGTGCAAATAATCTTTTCTTTACCTTTTAAATGTGATTTGCTAATTACAAAATTATTCTATCCACTTCAACACCCAATACGAATGAAAAACTTTAGCGCCCTCTGTTTTGTCAAACTATAGTTTTTGTGAACGATTGATGTTCCATTTTACGCATAATTCAATTTCAAGTATTATTCATAAAATAATTTCACAGCAATGATGAAAGCAATAATCTTGTATTCTTAGCTTAGGTATATTAAATTAATATTAACTTTTAGACTTTCGTTTTTGTAAACATAATTAGAAGTGGAGACAAAGTTTGTGACGCCTTCTAGAAAGATGGTGCGATTCTCAATCAAAGGGGGGAAAGGAATTGTTAGCAATGGTGTTTGAGAGCCCCATTGCTAGCAATACGCCCTATTAGGTCGACCTCCACGTGGTTTCCCCTGGATACCATCGTGAACAATTCTTGTTGAATTCATGACGATGAGCTAACTGACCTGTTTCATCCTCACCTATTATCCTTCACTGATGCCCCGCCTGTGTATACCGATAGCGCAGGTGGGGTTACCATTATCACCCATTAAAAAAAGACTCAATCGAAGTTGGACTTACTGAGTTTAAATCTGGCACCGCTGGAGGGAATGTAATACCACCCATGTCTCAACCAAGTCAAAAATTTTCTCGTAGTCGATAAACACCAGACGTACTCTGCGGTCTTTTGTATAATCTGCATATCATATGTATTTAGTCTATGGTACTAAGCCCTATCAGAAACCGGCTCGTTTGGGTGGCTAGAAGTCGTCGAGTGTGCACGTAAGACAGACAAGTTTCTCTAGAACATTAATCAGTACGAATCAGCACTAATCTCACAATCTTTAACTGGTCAACTATTTCACAAATCACCAGTTAAAGATTAGAAAACAACAATTTTATAATAAACAGATACTTAAGTAGGTAGATCGAATCAATGAAAACAACCATTGATAATATTTTAAAAATTTTATTAAAAAAATAGCTTTTGCCTGCGGCATTGCATGTGTGGTATTATGTTTTTTCTTTTCAATAATTAAATACCTTATTCAAATTCAAATTCAAATTCAAATTCAAAAATCATTTATTCATGTAGGACATTTTAGCCGCTTATGAACGTCATATTTTTACATATAATTTTAATTTTTTCCCTACCGTCCAGTTCGGTATATAGATCCAATTGAGAAGAACTGGCAAGAAACTCAATTGAATTACTTTTTTTTTAAAGCCAGTTTATTTACAATGTATATTTATATAGGTGTCTATGTCTAACATTAAATGAAAATTCAGTGCATGAACAACTATTGCCATGCACACTCGTCATTCAAGTAATCGTTTAGTGAGTAATAGGCTTTGCTCAGTAAATATGATTTAACAGATGTTTTGAATTTATTTAAGGGTAATTCCAACATATCCTTTGGTATCTTATTGTAAATTTTTATACCTATTCCCATAAAAGACCTATTAACTTTTTCTAAACGATACTTGGGGACAGCAAGTTTGTCTTTAAATCTGGTATTAATATTATGAATATTGCTGTTTTTTGGAAATAAGTCAAGATTTTTATGAACATATAGGATATTTGAATATATAAATTGAGAAGCAACGGTGAGAATATTTGCCTCTTTGAATTTCTCTCTTAATGAGTCACGACTCTTCATACAGTAGATCGCTCGAACGGCACGTTTTTGAAGTTATGTAAACCTATGTTAAAATTGCTTATTTTCTAGACTTAGTAGTTTTGGCTGTGCGTTGACAGTCAGCCGGTATTATCGATTTTATAGGTATAGCTTACTTACTGTGCATACATAAAAGACAAAAAAGAAAGCTATATGTGTTCCAAACTTTAGTTTTTTGTTACTACTTCAAAACATTCTAAGTCAATTTTAGGAAAAAAATCGTTGCATACTGTAATAAGTTTCATAGACTTTTCTTTTATAAATTTTTTATTATTTATTTTTTAGTTTCTCCGTCAATTGTCTCTGATAAATCATACAATTCACTTTTCGGCAAGAAACTATCAAAATCACTCATTTCATTATTTCTATACGTCATATCTTTAAAAGTGTTCGTAGCTATACTCAGACCGTCTTGGATATTATCGTCATTACTATCACTATCTGAATTATTATCCTTTTTTTCACTATCAGAAAGATAGGTCAAAACAGAATTGTCAAGATTTTTTAATTTTCCAAATTTGCTTTTATTTTTCAGAAGTTTGAACAATTTTTCCTCGTTTACATCATTAGGCTTGCTTTTAGTTTCTTCTGCGATATCTTTTATATCGATATTGTCTATTAATTTAACATCTTCTATCTGCTTGTCTAAATTCTGATTCTCTAACACTGTATAACCATTTTCAATATTTGTAACCGGTTCGTTACTGTCCGGATCAACAATACCAATGACAGTAGCTGTCTCAGGTTGTGCTATTTTGACGTTAAAATCGTCAACAGGAATTTTCTTACTTACGTCACTCCTTACTACATTTTCCTTTGTATCTTTAAATAATTCTTGGTATTGCTCTATTTCATTACTTCCGAACATAGTTGTGAGGAATTCTTTAAAAAGCCTTTTAAAAAAAATTTTTAAATTTCTTTAAAAAAAAGTTATCGTCTAAAATTCTTAATGCGTCTGTTTCAGATATAGATATAGGTTTTAATGGACCTGCAATGGGGTCTACTTTAAATGAAGTGGACGCTACAGACGTGTCGTGTATTGCAACTGGTGTATATGGATCTCTGAAAGGTTTCAGAGTTTTATGCTTCTCGGTGTAGGGCACGTTCTGAAAATAAAACTTTTAATAAGAAAAACACTCTATTTACTCTCTCACAAAAATATACAGGAAACAAAATCCCTTCCTAATTGTATCCGACAAAAATAAAAAAATGTATCTGTTTTGACAAACTTTTTTTAAAGAGATCTAGTTAAAAATAGGCGTATTTAAGGGGGGAGAGCGTCCAGGTGGGCAGTCTTCTTTCAAGTCAATAGGCAACCCGAATATATTTGGACCAGAACTTAGCCTCTACAGTACAGTCGGTTGCCTTATTCAGGTCCTCCTTCGTGTAAAATGAAGAACACTAAAGATGGGGTAAGAAGTGAGACATTGTCTGTGATTGCGTTTGATGCCCACCCCATGATACGAGTGGAACTTTCTGGAAAATAATCTTATCCTTACTAATATTATACATGTCTACATGCCCAAATGGTCGCGTACAACGCAGTTTCAGAGATGTTTTCTCCCACGAACACTTAGGTTATGGAATGAGCTCCCTGCCGAGGTTTTCCCAAGAGACTACAGCATGGGGTTCTTCAAAAGGAGGGTAAAGAGGTTTCTTCAGGGTCGGCAACGTGCGCGTAATACCTCTGGTATTGCAGGCGTTCATAGGCTACGGTAATCGCTTACCATCAGGTGGGCCGTATGCTTGTTTGCCACCTCAGTGGTATAAACAACAATGTGAAAATCAGTTTGTTTGTTTATTATCTTATAGCGCCTGAACAGTTTAACCAATCACTATGTATAGACACAGGATATAGACTACTTTTTATTTCGGTCACTAAACATATCCCGGTCATGCGGTCGAAGCCGCGAGTAAAAGTTAGTTAATATTATAAATACGAAAATGTATTATGATAGACGGATAAATGAATGCTACTTTTTCACCTAAAAACTAATCAAGGGATTTGGATAAAATTTGGCACACGAGTGTTTTGTATCCTAAGTTAGCACATTAGGTACTTTCGGTGCTGCTTACGCGACCGGAGCCGCAGAATACAACTAGACTAGCTAATAAAAAACACGAATCTAGCTAAAGATGGTTGTCGTGTCTTTGGTGAAGACGGTCGGTGCGTCCGGGGTGCCGCAAACTGGAGACCCGAAGCTAATGATGCCAGTTAGTAGACCGTTTACAATTCCCGGACCACCTACGTCGCGCTGTATTAACAATTAAATCTTAATATTGGTAATAATCGCATACTTATTTATTACATTGTGGACATTTTTACAACATTTTAAAAAGTGGTTATTGGGAAATAACGATAATAGTTGGACATATAGTATCGCGAAGTTTTTTGTAGTTATTGATATTTTCTTCAATATTGTAGAACATACTTTTGTTCTATCACCAATAGTTTCCGCAGCGCACGGGACGAAAGATATTTTATAGCATTTTTTAACACCTTGAGTTACGTTACTAAAGTTTTAGTAAGGACCCTTAATGTTTTCTAGCAATAAATATAGCCTATGTTACTTAAGGTGCATGTAGCTTTCTAATGATGAAAGAATTTTTGAAATCGGCAAAGTAGTTTTTGAATTTATTCATTACAAACATACATATACACAAAGCTTTCCTCTTTATAATATTAGTGTAGAAAGGTATTTTTTAGGTAAAAGTTTAATCGTGTTTTTCAAGTAATTCCCCAATTTAAATGTCCACAAATAATATAAAAATACAATTCTATTAATGTAATGGATGGATGGAATGGATGGAAAATGGATGTTTATTACTATTTAACACACAAACTATTAAACGTAGAGCGGAAAAGGATCGTTAGTAATGGGCTCTAACAGCGCCATTACTAGTGATATACCTTATCAGCTCGACCTCTACACGGTTCCCACTAAAAACCATTGTGATTAGATCTTGTTAAATTCGACACAATGGGCCAAATGACCTCTCAATGGTACCCCGCCAGTTCATATTGATAGCACAGGCGGGGTAACCATGCCATTTTTACCCATAAAAAAACTGCTGAATGGATTTTAGTGAAATTTGATACACGGGTGGGTTATACCATAACAGTCATTAACTGTCCACTGCTGAACATTGACTTTTCCCATAAAGAGAGGTTTTAGCAGTAGTTGCCACGCTTGGCAGACGGGTTGGCAACCACAGTTAGGCTTTGCACTGTTGCCTATCCCTCTACTATTAAGTTCCCCTAGTCACCTATTAAGACACCCACGAGAAAGGAAGCTCACGGCGTCTATTCTTCATCTACGATTATGCATTTACCGTTAATAAATTGTTAAGTAATATAAAAAAAAGAAAATTGTCTAGACTTACATTGCACGCACCGCTCCCTTTAGACATGAAGCCTGCACAAAAATGCTTTTTCGTGACGTATTCGCTGAAAATAAAACAAAATTATTGCAAGTGAAAGTTAGGTTTTGAAAAACGCTTATATGAGGAATAAATCTCCAAAACACTTCTTCTTAAAACTAATTTATATCCAAGATTTTTAGTGAAATCTTAGAAATTACGGTTTTTGTAGAGATTACTAAATTTTATTCCACCACCGGGTAAAGTATTCAAGTCAAAAACTATGGAAAGAGAAAAAAGAAATCTAGAACATATTTCCCGAATTTTTTTGGAATTTTTCACTACCTTTAAGTAGGTCAAATTATCGTTTGGGACGATATTGTCCGTGACAGTTGACGGTGTGCAAAAAAACACATGGTTGGCGGAGGGTTAATTACCTGGAGTAGATATCTTGGCATTGGTCCAAAGGATAAGGGTCCAATACATAGAACGACAGTATGTTGGCCCACGGGTCATTCAAAATATTACTGGACTGAAACAATGAACCACTCCATTAATGAACCACTCGTTATAAAGTTTTGTGTAAACGTTACCTACATTTTTTTTTAATGGGTGATAATGGAATGGTTACCCCACCCGCACTAACGGTATACACCAGCGGGGCACCAGTGAAGGATAGTAGGTGAGGATGGAGCAAGTCAGTTAGCCCATCGCGACGAATTCAACAAGAATTGTTCACGATGGTTTCCAGGGGGAACCACGTGGTAGTCGACCTAATAGGGCATATTGCTAGCAATGGGGCTGTCAAGCTCCATTGCTAACAATCCCTTTCCCCCCACGTTACATGGTATATGGCTATATAAGAGATATGGCAATTAAATTACAAAGTACAGAGGCGTAACCCTTAAGTTAAAACCTTAGTTCTTAGGAAAGGCAACACGGGAAAGGTATCATGGGTAACATAATATACTCTGTTATGTCCATGGTACTGTTCATGTCTATAGGCGACGGTTACCACTTTCCATCAGGTGGGCCGTCAGCTTGTTTGATATTCAAAATTGCAAACAAATATAAAAGCTAGTTAATACACATATCCAAATACAATTTTAAACACACACATAGGTATAATTTATAGTAAACGCATACAAATATTTTTAATATGTAATTATTATTGTAAAATGATCGTTGAAGGCAAGGCAGTGTATTAAACAAACAGAGAAACTTCCAAATCTAAACATAATAACCTACTATATATTATTAAAAATAATTATTCTGGTTATAAAATAACTTACTCGTTTGGCTCCCCAACCAACAATAGTGACGCCATCAGTTCTCAACGGGAGACTTGAATCCCTTCTATCAAAATCTATCTTTACTTACCCTCTTACTCTTTTTTTTAAACTTTATTTTCCTTGTCAGCCGCAGCAAACATATGTTGTTTTGTAAGGTTCTAGGATTATATTCAGGGTGGAAGTAAACTTCCAGAACAGGGATATTCTCTCCACCACCATTGTAGAAGCTACTGCCGACTCTGACAGAGAGGAATGCTGGATTCTCACGGAAAAAGCGGTTGTTCCAAGCCCTTTAAATTTGGATAAAAAAATAAATACCAACGTGTAAAAATAGAAGATACATAATGAAAAAATACATATATAGAGAGTATTAAAATGAAGGCCAGTAAAGTTAATAAAACAATATCAATTAAAAGACGCGCATTATTTTTTAAAACTTAATTACTCACCCTGAGGAAGACTTCAGAATGAAGTCAATTTTTTTTTACAACACAGGGGGCAAACGAGCATGCGGCTCACCTGATGGTAAGTGACTACCGCCGCCCATGGACACCCACAACACCAGCGGCATTGCAGGTGTGCTGCCGGCCTTTTAAAAAGGAATATGCTCTTTTCTTGAAGGTTATGTTGTCGTTCAATGCAACAATTGTCGAAAATAATAAACATACATAGTAAATGTATGAAATTCTTTAATTTTACAACTGGACAACGAACCTTTAGGTATAAATATACTCGTACATATAAAACATGTTTTGGATGCTACAACCAGGATGCAATATTTATAAATATTAATAACTTTTTTATACAACTTAGAATGGCAAACAAGCTGACGGCCTATCTGATGGAAAGTGGTAACCGTCGCCTATAGACATGAGCAGTACCATGGACATAACAGAGTACACTATTTCGCCCATGATACCCCTCATGCGTTGTCATACCTGAGGACTCAGGTGTTATTCCTCTGTACCCGGTAATTTCACTGCTATATCCCACCCTTCAAACCGAAACAAACTTTTATACAAAGTCTTCCTCTGGCATCGATATTAATAACTGTTAATATTTTAAACACATTGGAGAACATGAGAGTATAGTACGAGTAGCAAGAAATATTAAATTAATGATTTGAAAATACTCTTACAATTGTAAACAAGACGAGGCACTGATAATCAAGTCCGATTTGATAATAGATCCACCACATTGAAACTTGTTGAAGATCTGGATGCTGGCCATGAACGGAAAATGTTTGATTTTAGTTCTATGACCCATATAAATTCGACGGCCACTCGGCTCTGTGAACCAAATCATTTAAATTCAATATAATAAATTAAATAAATTAACAGATTATACCTTGTTGTATACGACAAGATAGCCCAACTCTTTTAAATATCCAATTTGTCATACATAAAAAATGTTGCATTTAATATGTTGCCCCAGTGCGAAAGTAAACAGACTAATGTAAGAAACAAATAAAAAGTTTTAATAAGTAAACAGAAAAATTACCCCAAAATCCAATTTCATCGCTGAACGTTTCATTTTCTGCAGTATCTAATAAATTCGAATTACTATCGTGCGTATAATTATATGACACGATATCGTCATCTTTCAGATATTTTACAATTTGCGCATCAATATCTGGTATCTAACTGGTAATTTATTCGCTCCCTTCTATAAAGCTTAAGGACATCGACAAATACATTAATATGATTCAGGACATCTTTGTTTTCGACATCTGTAGCAAATGCATCGACATCTTCGTTTAATAATTCATTTAATGCAGTCATAAAGTATAGCGTTTCATTGTTTATTTTCTTCTTATCAACTCTGGTTAGTTTTGCTATTTGTTTCAAATTTGCATAGTCCTCTAAAGTGAGCGAGACCAGATATTTATGGACTAAGTAATATTGCTCTAGTCTCGACGTTTCTTTACTTTGTTTTAGTTTAAGCAATAAAAATAATTTGTTTGTTGTTTCTCTTATTATTATTTCTGTTGTCAATCAATTGTTATCTTCGACTTTTGACAATACAATAAGTCCTACTGTTTGATGAAGCTTCCAAATGAAAAAAATGAGTGTTGAAAACGACATAAGATTGATTGATCCTAATATGTTTAGTATTATTTTTATTGTAAATATGGTGGTAAATCTATAACCTTCAACGACAATGTTAACTTAATAAATTTCGTACTTTTATAGTTTATTTTATTTCCTCATGCGATTTTATTGCTGAAACTTTGTTACAGATAAGAGAAAATACATATTATGATAAAAAATATATTTTAGATTATACCTAAAGTTATAGCTTAAGACGTATTCTAACTTTTTACTTCGTCATTATGAATACGAACACAAGTAAAAGTTTATCAATAATTATAATTATGTTTGAAAACATACGAAATACTAATCTATTAAAAAGTTACCAAACGAAACAAATATAAATATCCACGATGTAAATGATAAATTGCAACATGTTGTAAACAAACTATTTAAGACTCTGAAAATTACTAAAAAGTTTATTCATCCATTAAAAATACAGGCATGTTTAAACCTGTATTATACCACAAGAAACGTAGCAGAAAGTAATTGGGTTTCATATGATCATCTCAGTAAAACAGTTACATATAATACAATTGATAATAAACTTTACGAATTGATAACGGACGTTCTTCATGAAAATCACTCTAGATCAATTGCCGATATTTCTGATTCAGGAGTTTCAGAAGACGGTATTAGTATTAATTAAATATTAATTATAATAATTATAATAATTTTAAAAATACAAAAGGTGTTACATATCTTGGAAACTTTGAACAAAACATTAATGTCATCAGAGACAAGAATTATCAACTTAATAGAGGTGGAAATTGAAATAAGATATATGAAGTAACTACCGATAACGGTTGGAAAAAGTGAAACATTCATAAAGAGAAATAACCTACCTATTGTTTTACTATAGAAATAATTAATTTATAAGAAAAAAATACTTAAAAGTTTTTATATATCCTGCAAAATTAATTTACCTATTGCCTATCTTGATATATTTTTTTCTATTTCAAAATCATTGCATATTATTTCATCCTCTTTGTTAAATACCCAATTTCGAAAAAGTATTTAAATGTCAAATATTTATATGTCCAAAGGTTGACATTGGACATAGTCTCAAAAAAAGAATTCAAAATGTCTTTAGTAGCAATAAAAACTTATGCGCTTGTGTCGCCGATATCTAATGCTAGAACAATATATGGAAGATGCCGCACTGGCAACAGAGATCTGGTTGGCTTTGGCATTAACGGATGCGCCAACTATAAAGACGACGCTCACTTTCCTTTCCCCGCTGTAAGGTTTAAGGAGAACACTAGAGATATCTGTGTAAGTTCATTTTATATCTTAATAACAGAGGCAAATGCTTCTAGTTTACTAGAAGAGGGGAGGAGGGGAGGGGGGGTTGTTAGTAATAAAGACTAAAGGCGCTATTGCTAGCACTATACCCTACCAGGTCGACCTCCTCATGTATCCCCCCTGGAAACTATCGTGCTGAATTCCAAGTGTATTCATCAAGCTGAGCTAACTGACCTGCCTTTTTCATTCTCACCTGTCATACCTCACTGGTGGAGGGAAAGGGATTGTTAGTAATTGAGACTGAGAATCCCATTGCTAGCAATATACCCAACCAGGTCGACCTCCTCGCGGTTCCCCCTGGAAACTATCATAGTTAATTCCTGATGAATTCATCATGATGGGCTAACTGGCATGTGTTCATTCTCATCTATCACCCTTCACTGGTGCCCCGCCAGCGTATACCGTTAACGCAACCGGAATTACAATTCCATTGTCCTCTATTATAAAAAAAAAGCTTACTGGAGTTGGGAAGGGATTGTTAGTAATACCGACTATCAGTCCCATTGCTTGCAATATAGTGTAGTAGTAGCGTGGTCCCCCCTGGAAACTGTTGTGCTGAATTCCAGATTTATTTGTCACAATAGCCTAACTTTACTTAACTAGCCTTTTAATTCTCACTTATCAACCCTCACTGGTGTTCCGCCAGCGTATACCATTAGAACAAGATGGGGTTATCATTTCATTATCATCCTATTACATTACAAGCTATTACAAGTTTCTACGAAAGCTCCTACCTACAATTTTTTTCTGACTTGCAGGCCCTTCGTGAAAAGGAAAGAGGTGACTGGAAACTGCTATGTTGTGAAGAGAAAAAGGCATTATACCGCGCCTCGTTCTGCCAAACCTTCGCCGAATTCCAACATCCGACAGGAACGTGGAAGTTCGTCCTCGGAGGGGTGTTCTTCATGACATCGTTCGCGTTCTGGGCTGCGATGTATAACCACTATTACGGTAATGAACTAGAACTTTTACAAAATATTTCAAAATATATAACACTACATTGGGGAATCCGAAGTAGGATGATAAAGCTTAAACTGCGTAGAGAAGTTTCATCTCCGTCCATCTTTATCGAATTTATCATGGGGAGTGCTCTGAGGAATTGTTCGTATTGATATCAAATGCAGATTTTCACCATCGTACAATCTGCCACAAACTAAAGTTCTATCCCATCTGGATAAGTGGCAGCCCTCCATCGCGAGTTTTTTTAAGGCACTTTCTTCCACGCACAATCACTCTTTGGAATCAACTTCTAGCAGCAGTACTTCCGAATCGATACGACATTTAATTAAGAGCATATTCCCGTTTAAAAGGCCGGCAGCACACCTGCAATGCCTTTAATGTTTCGAATACTCATGGCACCGATAGTCACTTACCATCAGGTGAGCCGCATGCTCATTTGCCTCCTGTGTTAAAAAAAATAGGAGAACAATATCTTCTGATAGCTCAATATAATGATAAAATTATTCGAGAAGTGATAGCTCGAATTGGTAAGAACATTAGCTCTAGCATGGCTTAGAAAATACTGATTCAGGATCCGCCCGTTTCAAAATTTTTCAATAATGCAATAACTACTGGAATATGATTTCCATAATTATTGTTTAGATACGAGTATATTATTAATTTATAAGTACATGTTGTTATATTAATAAAGGCTCTGCTTTCAGTCGCCGGTCCGCTACCAGTGTCCCTGTCGAAGGCGTCCCAAAAGGCCCAGCTGAGGAGAATGTTTGAAATCCGCGCCAATCCGATAGATGGCATATCATCCAAATGGGACTATGATAACGATAGATGGAAGGTAACTCTAAATCTCAAATTATCATTTACGGACGCAGAATGCTTAGGTTTTGTATACTACGCGGTAGTGTCTATCTGTTTTGCCACCCCGGGTAAAAATAAATATTTGCTCTCTTTATAATGAAAAATCATATTAACTTGCTATAAACTCATTTTGCCACACTGGGCTCTGTACTACACCAAATTGGATGCGGTTTTTACAGTTGTGTTCCTGAAGTTTTTTTTTATACAACTTAGAATGGCAAACAAGCTGACGGCCCACCTGATGGAAAGTGATAACCGTCGCCTATAGACATGAACAGTACCATGGACGAAACATAAAAGGATGTACATTTCATCTAGAATTGATATATTTCATTGATTTTACTTCTTCTGAAATCTGCGCGTACAAAGCAGCGTGCAAAAAGTTAGTTTGAAGTAAAAGTAGCGAAAATATGGCATAAAAAGTACCTCTTAATATTGTTTTGCTAAACGCATCTTTATCTTTGTAACTGTAACTCATATATTTGCTTATTCTTTCAGCATTAATACAAGTTTATGGGGCATGTGTGTACCTACGAATATATAAGGCGTTCTTCGTGTTGGTGTTATAATAGTTATTTATATAATTTTCCGTCACATAATTCTTGTTTATTTTGAATAAAGTAACGTACGGATATTTGGTATTTTATTCATTTCTTATGAAATACGCTACACCATTAGACTGCTTGCCAATGGTAATATTAATTTACTGTCTAAAATTTCCATAATTCAAGATGTATTATTAAAAATAAACAGCAATCTGATTATATATATATATATATATATATATATATATATATATATATATATATATATATATATATATATATATTTCTTGTAAATTACATTGTTAATGCATTTATAAATATTGTGAGCAAGGGTGGACTTATCTCTGACAGAGATCTCTTTCAGTCAACCCAATGCAGGTAGAGTACATAAACATATATACAATTAAATATATATAATTTATTTCTTAAATTGTTTTATAAATTACCTGTCCAGTTGAAAATTACACATAGTCTCACTACAAACTCTTTTATTGAAAAAATATTATTACTAAATGGTCCGCTCAAGAGTTTTATTTCTGCTAAATTCAAACTTGATACATTAACAGTCTTTTTCCTGTACTTTGCATTCGATACCGCATGCTGTAAATAACCTTAGTACATTTGTTTTATTGTTATTTCAAACAGCATTCTATTATCATATTTCTATTCGTGTTTCAATATATCTGCCTACCTAGTCCCTATTCATAAAATACATATTGGCAATAGCTTAAATTTTACGACATAAATAGTTAAATAAAATAATTCTGTATTTCGTTATTTTGTATAAAAAATAGGTATACTCTGTACTACCACAATGGCGTATTGTGTTACAATTATTGCGAATTTCCTAATTCCGTTGTTTTGTTTAAATAAAGTTGTTGAAGCACACGGCAGAACGTCTTTATCAACAGAGGATACTTCGGATGAAAGTGAGGAGTTAATACGCATATTTCTAACAAGCAAAGTGCCAAAATCCAATTTTTTATTTATTTATTTTTATAATCTTAATTTATATACTTTTGTAGATATTAGGTTATAACGAAAACGTATTTTGTAAATGTTAGGTTATAACGAAAACGTACAATCCCTTATGGAAATTTCTTCCAGTCAACCTTGAGAACCCGCGAAAAGAAAATATTTATATGCTTTGATTTATACCTAAATATATAAAAAAAAATTACTCCATCAATACGATTTTATACACTTGACAAATACGAAAACTGTTAAAAAACATTACCCAAATTTCTTCAATCCCGTTTCATTCTCACTCTCACTCAAAACGTTTTTCCAAAAATTTCATTTCTACAAAATTTCAACTGAGTATTATTGAATTTTACCTCTAGTTGTATGGTTTTCCCCCTTAAATATTCTGTAGTTAGTAAGAGATCTCTCTATGGGATCTCCCATGGTATATTACATCTTTTAATGTGTCTAATATAAACTTTGTACAATAAAGATTTTACAATACAATACAATTTCACGGACAGATTTTTTTTATCGGAAATTGCTAAAAAGTACCTTATTTGGCAACACTGTAAGAAACCGTTCTAAGCCACCTGTATTCCCAGCAGCACATTTATGCCCATCTCGCCTATAGTAGTCATCATACAAAGCATTTTCCTATAAGGTTTGGTGGTGAAATATGGCAGTGTTGGTAACAGTTGGTGGTAACACGGACTACCAGTCCCACGGCTAGTAATATATTCTGTCAAGTCGACATCCTCGTGGTTCTCTCTGGAAACCATCGTGCTGAATTCAAAGTGTATTCATCACGATGAGCTAACTGGCCTGCCTTTTCATTCTCACCTATCATCCCTCACTGGTGTCCCGTTAGCGTAAGCAGGGTTACCATTCCATTATCACTTATTTAAAAAAAAACTCTATCAGTCCTAAACCGATTTAGAAAATTGTTTTTCTTTGTCTGAAAGGATATACTTACAGATTGTCCCCATAGAAATTTTATTAAAATCGCTCCAGTAGTTTAATGTATAGATCAAAATAACTAGTTTTGCCGCGAATGAAGTCGACTTTTTTACGGAACCCAATCTTTACTTATTCCCGATCGAACTTACAAACTCAACAATTCCTTTATTAACAGTAGAAAATGAATGGAACAACCGTCGCTCTATGTACAGACAAGAGTGGCAGTACGAAGGTCTACCCATCGAGATCCCTGGTCGACGATCCGCCGACAATGAGGTCCTTACCGAAGATGAAAACAGCATAACAACTAGTAAGATGTCTCTGTCTCTATTTCAAATATAGACTAAAACGAGTACTATTGGAGAAACAAAATAAAGGAGAACTTAACTATTGGTAGTATCTGATCCTCAATATGATATTTTACTTATGTGTGTATATATATATATATATATATATATATATATATATATATATATATATATGTGTGTGTGTGTGTGTCAAATATAGGCACAAATGAAAACTTCTTTCCTTTTTTTTTTAATTAGTATATTTACGAAATAATTCTTGTAAGAAGCAATTTACAGTGGTACCCTGCACTTTGGTTATGTTTTGTTAAAAGAGGGACTGGCTGAAAATCAGCGCTCTCAAAGGAACAATCACAGCATCCGCTGAGCCGGTTCCTTTTGCCGGGTGTGGGACACTTTTTGTATATGTTATTTATATTTTATATTGTAAGTTTACTGGCAATAAATGTTTCTATTCTAAAAAAGATTACATATTATATGGTATAATAACAGTTTTAGAGTGCTGTTGGGGCTACTTCGCTTTTGTAGCGCTTCTAGCATATTTGCTCAATCTCGCGTAGATGACTACTACGCTGTAAGGAGAAAGAGGACTGCATCATTGCTACACAGGGTTAGGACAAGCACCAACAGCATTCTGAAAGTAGTAGGCGAGAAATATAACTCACCTATAATTGGGCATTTCATTCAGATGCTGATCTAGTCGGAGGGCTGATATCTGAGTAAATTGCTTTATTTAAATGTTCACTTTAATTGCTTTTCTTTTCTTTTTTTCCACGTTACTAACAATCCTTTCCCTTCCCCACGACCTATAGTGGTCGGATAAGCCCTGGCGTGTATCCAGCCCTCGAAAAGATTATGGTGGTGGATAATTATAAAAAATATGAAAAATAATTTTAAAATAACTTATCATAAGAGACTGACATATATATATATAAATATTTTGATTGATTAATTGACTGGTCACAGCCACCTGTAATTTTTTTTCCCCGCTTGGCAGGCGGGTCGGCAACCGCAGTTAGGCTTTGGTAATGTTTTAAAACGACGTTGCTGCACATTCCTCGACCATTCAGTTCCGTTAATCACCTCTTATGACACCCACAGAAAAGGAGGGAAACTCATCCTATGCCGAAACCACACGGGAACCATCTTGGTTCTTGTTACATCACGATGAGCCTTCTATCCTGCTTACATCCTCACCTATCATCCCTCACTGCCGTGCCATTATATACCGATAGCGCAGGCGAAGTTTTTTTTATACAACTTAGAATGGCAACCAAGCTGACGGCCCACCTGATGGAAAGTGGTAACCGTCGCCTATAGACATGAGCAGTACCATGGACATAATAGTAGACACACATACTGTTTCGCCCATAATACCCCCCATGCGTTGCCATTCCGTAGTAATCCACTATAAATACAAGTACTTTTAAATATTTTATTATTTTATCAAGTAACAACAACGACCCGCGCCTCCCCGCCTCTCGATCGCCGTTACCGCCGTATATACAACCCAGATGAGGTGGCCACCATCGAAGAATTCCCCTTCGTGGCTGCTCTACTGGTGAACAAGCAGTTATGGTGCGGAGCTGTGGTCATAAGTAGTGATAAGGTTTTGACTGCAGCACATTGTTTACAGTTGTAAGTAGCTTCTATTCTACTATTCTAGAACAAAAAAGAGGAAAATTGTGCATAACTTGTCTGTCAGATCAAGGCGCGCCAGATTAAATTACCATCTCTTTAATACCAACAACTAAACCCTATCAGGTTGACCTTATCATGATTCCCCCTAAAAATCAGCATAGTTGAATTTTGCTGAATTCGTCAGGATTGGCGACCTACCTCCATTCATCCTCACCTATTCTTATTTGCTAGTACCCCGCCAGCGCATTCTGATAGCGCATCATTCCATTGTCACCCATTAAAAAAGTACCAACGACGAATTTGATGCGTTCCTTTACAGGTGTCGCCACTATGCTGTGTATCATCATAAGCAATTAGGAATTGGAGAAGATATCACAATAAAAATAAAGTAGTTTTAAAAATGAAACTTCTTGTTTGGAATGACTTAAAAAAAAGTCAGAAACACGAATAGGACAGAAGTACCCATATTTCTGTCCTATTCGTGTTCCTGCCCTGAAACAGCTGCATCCAGCTGCGCTGGAGTTGCCACGTTTGGCGGGTTGACAATCGCAGTTGGGCTTTGGTAATGTTTTAAGATGAACGTTGCAGCCCATCCCTCGAGCGTTAAGTTCCTTAGTCACCTCTTACGACACCCGCGGGAAAGGAAGGGGTGGCCCATACTATACCGGATCCACACGGTAATATAATATTATACATCATTAAATGTCATCTATGATTATTGTGATTCATCATTACCGTCTCAGCCATTATCTGCCCGCTGCTGAACAATGGCCTATAGACAAAGCCATAAGGAACGAACTGAGTCACCAGCAACTATTGACTCCCTACAATGCATCTGAAGTCGTCACTCTCTATGGTGGGGAGATCGGGCGTGTGCCCGTACGGGGTCGCCCTCAAGAACCTTTCTTCCCCATCGGTTGTCGGTTCTTCGAGCTATGTGACCAGCCCATTGCCACTCCAGCTTGCCTATCCTTCGGGCTATGTCGAAAACTTTCATTCTTTTGCGGATATCTTCGTATCGGATTCTATCACAATATCATGTTTATGTCAAATATAATGATTACTCGTATATATATAATATTTTATTTTTAGACAATACAACAATCGCTTCTTTCGGGAATACGTAAAAATGCTAAATGTTAGAGTCGGTTCGTCCAACGCGACGGCTGGCGGGCAGCTGCTAAGGGTTACAGAGATATTTTTCCATCCGAATTACAAACCACAGACCTTGGAGTTCAACTTCGCCGTACTGAAGCTGCACAAGAACTTGACCTTCGGAAGGGACGATCCTGAAGTGGAAATGATCGAGTATTCCAGAGAGAAGAGTATACCTATTGACAGGAGAATCGTGTTCTTAGGATGGGGATCGGTTTTGGTAAGTACTTTCAGTGGCTTAAGTTCTTTCACAAATCAAAACGGCCATATTAATCATGCCATTCGGAACCATACATCATGAGACATGGAAGTAAAAAACCAATAAAGAAATGAACATCTGTCAATTGCTAAAATAAAGATTCAACATCATCATAACCCAGAGGGAAACTTTGTACAAAAGTCGATTGCTTCGGTACCTCTGTCCCATTCGTCTTTCAACCGTGAATCAGTTGTGTTTGCATGGCTGTGTTTCGGTTTCAAGGGTGGGATATGGCGTGAATTTACAGGGTACAGAGGAATAAAATCTGAGTCCTCAGAAATGGCAACGCATGGGGGTATCATGGGCGAAACAGTATGCTCTGTTATGTCCATGGTACTGCTCATGTCTATAGGCGACGGTTACCACTTTCCATCAGGTGGACCGTCAGCTTGTTTGCCATTCTAAGTTGTATAAAAAAAACCCTTAGGGACTTTTGCCAGTAGTTGCCACGCTTGGCAGACGGATTGGCAACCGCAGTCAGACTTTAAAGACGTTTAAGAGGAACGCTGCTGCCCATCTCTCGCCCCTTCCATAGTGGCCTTTTACGACACGCCCCACCTCCACGGGAAAGGAAGGGATGGCCTATTCTGTATTAAGACTACGCGACCAAAATAAAGATTGCCCCTCCTCCGATCCCCAAAAAAGACTTCAATAATAAAACCAGTTGTTTTGATTTAAAAACTTTAACAACTGAACCGATTATGATAAAATTTCTATAAAACCAATCAGTAAGTATATCCTATCAGATAAAAAAAAATCCAAATCGGTTTAGAACTGGTATATATATATATATATATATATATATATATATATATATATATATATATATATATATATATATATATATATATATATATCCCTTCCCCCCTGTTAAGATGTCATAAGGTAACAGACAAACAAACTCATTTTCACATTTATAATATTAGTAAATATTGTTAGTTCCGTTTTAATTTGTTTTTAACAGGGTGTGGATAGCTCCGGTGGAACTGTGCTACTGCAGAAAGTAGAGTTACCAATCTACGATCTGGCTGACTGCCAAGAAGTTTACGGAAGGTAGTTTTAAAATATTAATTGTGTTACTTCTTCTTTCTTTTCACTTTTCATGCCAAGCCTTTGTAAACCATCATGGAAAGGTACGGCCGACTACATACTCATTTGTTGCAGTCTCCGTCCATCTACCTTCCTCATGCTCCTTAAATATCGCGCCTAAATTACTATTTAACACACCATGTAATATACTATAGGCATCCTGTCACCAGTATCCAATAGCTAGGACGGAATACCTTAAATACTGTACCACGAACTATAAAAAAAATACATTTTTCTTATAGTCAAAGATGGAATGATAAACTTGCCTGCACTAACGGTATATGCCAGAGGGAGACTTTGTATAAAAGTCGATTACTTAGGTACCTCTGTCCCGTTCGTGTTTCAACCGTATATATATATATATATATATATATATATATATATATATATATATATATATCCGATAAAAAATATGTTAAAAGTCTGTTAATAATTTTGGATAACAGAAGAAACATAACGAAAAATGTCCAGAGGAACCCAATATTTAGATATCGGATCGACATCCATATTACCCATGCCTATTTAATAACACCATTTACAACAAATAGTAATTTGAACATTATTTATGGGGCACAAATACTGTAAAATTATTGTAGGTAGTTAGTTATTGAAATAACTACTTTAAAACCGAGCCAATTACAAAATGAGGTTGGTTGCCAAATTACCACAGTCATAAAAGTTTTTTTATAGGCATATTTGTTTACTATACTTGTTTTTTGCATTACTGTTGCTCAAATGCTCACTCGCTACTTTCTATGCCGCTAACCGGAAGAGATCTCTTTTAAATATAGGTATTCTTTTGCTCACATTATTTTTAATCGTAATTAAATATTATGCATTTCTGAATGCTATAAAGAATATATAATATTTATTGCAATAGACAGCAGCGTCCCTCTTAAAACTGTCCCATTCGTGTTTCTACCGTGAAGCAGTTGTATTTGCATGGCTGTGTTTCGGTTTGAAAGGTGGGATATGGCGTGAATTTACAGGGTAGGGAAGAATAACACTTGAAGCCTCAGGAATGGCAACGCATGGGGGGTATCATGGGCGAAACAGTATACTCTGTTATGTCCATGGTACTGCTCATGTCTATAGGCGACGGTTACCACTTTCCATCAGGTGGGCCGTCAGCTTGTTTGCCATTCTAAGTTGCATAATAAAAAAAATTTACAAAGCCTAACTGCAGTTGCCAACCCGCTCGCCAAGCGTGACAACTACTGGTACAACCTCCTTATAGGGGGAGGCCAATGTTCTGCAACAAACGGCTGATATGATGGTATAATAATCAGACTACAGTTTTAATTTCATTTCAGAGATTTAGTTTCAAGAAACAATTTTTGCGCCGGTTACATAACAATACCTAAAAACGTCTGTAACGTAAGTATTACATACATATATATATGTAAGTATATATATAAGTATTATACATATGTACGTTTCCATGTGGTCCCAGCATAGAATAGGCTACCCCTTCCTTTCCCGTAAATGTCGTAAGAGGCGACTAAGGGAACTTAATTGTCGAAGAATGGGTAGCAGCGTCTCTCGTAAAACATCAAAGCCTAACTGCGGTTGCCAAGCGTGGCAACCACTAAATACACATAATGTTAACAGAGATTTAAAAGAGTAACCGTTGAGTTTCTTGCGGGCCCTTCTCAGCAGATAACAACGTTCCGAACCCTGCAGTAGATTCATATAAATGACGATTAAAAATTGTTTATAAACAAGTGTATTTGAATAAAGAGATTTTAAATTTAAACAGAAAACAGTGAAAATATAACCAAGTTTTCTTGAAATCATTACAGAAACTAATAACTGATTGAAATAAGTAATAAATCGAATCAATTAATTTATTTTTTAATTTTACCTACTTACTACTGTAGGATGTCGAGGAATAGGAAATGTTAGTAATTTATTTATTTATTACATCCACTGGGTGAGCCTTACAGTCTTCCAATACGTTCACCCAGGAAAGCATGAGTACAGTAACATGTAAAAAAGGAATATTACACAAAAATAATAAAAAAAGGTTTAACTGAAATAAAAAACGTCTAAACACAAATACTCTGTGGTCACTCGACGAAACTCCAGCGAGTTGAAGGCAAATACATCCAATTGAGGATACTGGCTCAAAATATCATTAAGTAGTTTCAATGCGAGATATAGGGGAGCCTGCTTAGCGAACTCTGTTCTGCGCTCCTATTTATATTGATTCTAGTACAGTTTGGTTACATTTTTCCTCCCGCACTAATTTTAACACATACTCAATTAAATTTAGTTTTCGTCTCACTTCAAGTGTATTATAGCCCACCATACCTAACAGAATGCGGACTACTGGTTCTTTTTTTAGTAATATTCCCTGTTAAGTCTTCCACGTGTTTCCCACTGGAAACCATCGTGCTGGATTCCAAGTGTACTCATCACGATGAGCAAATTGACCTGCCTTTTCATTCTTACCTATCATCCCTTACTGGTGCCCCACCAGCGTACACCGATAGCGCAGGCGGGGTTACCATTCCATTATTACCTATTCAAAACTGTAGGACATCAGCAAACTACTTTTGTGCTTGAGTCAGTTACTCGTTTGTTTACATTTTAAGTTCTATAGAAACAGGTGTTCGTAATTCACAGCACGACGCTGGTGGCCCGGCCATTATGGACGGCCGTCTAGTGGGGATATTGTCGTTCTCGTCGAGCCGATGCGACGAGCCTGACCGGCCGGCTGTGTTCAGCACGGTTGGCGTAGTGGTGCCCTGGATAGAGGGGCTCGGGGAGAAAATGGTGCAGCTGAAGTAAGTATCAACTTTTTTATGGATGAATATAGAGTGATGACTCCGCCTGCACTATTAACTACGTAACTAGTAGGAATTCGAGTCACCTAACTGTAAATTACTAGCATGCACTACCGGACTTTATAGAGCCATCCGATTAAAAATGTAGGTAATATTTTTATTACCATTTCTTAGTCATAAAAGACGATTATAGCGGAGTACACGACTGAAGTACATTTTGCAAATATTCCAAGCCTATAGCTTTTTTATGCAACTTAGAATGGCAAACAAGCTGACGGCCCACCTGATCGAAAGTGGTAACCGTCGCATATAGACATGAGCAGTACCATGGACATAACAGAGTATACTGTTTCGCCCATGATACCCCCATACGTTGCCATTCCTGAGGACTCAGGTGTTATTTCTCTGTACCCTGTAAATTCACTGCCATATCCTACCTTTCAAACCGAAACACAGCCATGCAAACACAACTGCTTCACGGTTGAAACACGAATGGGACAGAGATACCCAAGCAATCGACTTTTGTAGTCTCCCTCTGGTGTTAGTTTAATTATATATATATATATATATATATATATATATATATATATATATATATATATATATATATATATATATATATATATTTATTACTAATAAACCTCTGTTTACCAGGAATACAGCACTCAAATCTCCAGAATCAATGAAGATCCCACAATGAAACAATAATATAATAGATCAATAATATATTTCCACTAATACTGTACACGCCAGCTTCCATTTGACTAAAACGTAACAAGAAATAAAATAAAAATATTAAAAATCGGATTAATTTGGTTAAACTTTAATTTCTATTCAACATACAACATTGAATAAACATACAATTTCCATTACGAATTACACCTATGTAACATTATGTTTTCTGTTTTTATTTAACGGACCTTCGAGTTTATTTCAAATGGAATGATACCGAGCTGATTTCTCCGTTACATGCTTATAATAAATCATTGATTAAATACAGAAATCAAGCGGAGTATGTATATACAGCAAAAGGGCTTTGCCGCGCTGAAACGTCAAAGTGACAGCTGACAGATCGCGCGCACGCCCGCGAGGTGTCGCTCCGCGCCTATGTGCCTATCGATTAAGAACAGTATTACATTAACAATAAAATCTATTATTGCGTGACCGCAATTTATATGCAACAATGCAACAAATTAGATGTTCAATTTGTGCGCTTATTTTAAGTGCGGTAATTGATGTGGAGTTCAGGCTTGATGTCGTAGATCAGGTTCAGGATATCTTTGATTACCTGTCAACAAAATATAACATTTAGCTATAATAGAGAAAGTTATTGTCAATTTGACGACCTCGGCAATGGTAAGTGCATTGCTTTCCGTAATGAGGCCCCACGTTCTCAATTTAGGAAACGAGGTCTGAGCATCTTAGGATGTGCTCTCAGATATGCTGCCTCATTACTTATAACAGAGTATCTTACTTTGAAGGCCAGGCGATTTGTGTAATTGTGTAATAATATATTTATCATGATGGGGCTGACATTGTATTGTAATGTTAACAAATTTCATTTCTGCTGTAGTCTGTATTGATATTGGATATTTCATCACCCTTTGTCAAATGATTTTAATGAATATTTGCTTCTTATTATGTTATAACATAGTAATGCCACCTTTATTGATTTTTCTGAAACTTTCTATAGTATTTTTTTCTACAATTTAATTATTGTATTACTTATTGAATTTAAAACCACATACATACGCAACTCCCACTATGTTCACTTTTCTATCATGAACAAGCAATACTTGTTACATTAGTAGTTAAAAGCCTGTCCATATAACAGGAATTTTATACACAAAAATAAATTTGCTTTTATTTAACATATTTATAGTTCCGTGTAAAAAATTGATTTTGTCTTTTGTACACTGTAAAAATTGTCAGTACATACCGCATCCTTCTGTGACTGCACCATCCTGTTCATCTCGTCAATTTTGACCTTGGTTTCAGCGTCGATCTTAGCTGCGACACCTTCCCTTGTGCCCATGTGCTGAAGTACAAAAACATACATAGTTTACACATATAATTTACAGATTCTTGCCACAGTTAGTTACATGTTTTGAGTAATCTTTTAACTTCCTTTTAAGAGTTATTGTCACAAATTGGTGAAATGTAGGTAATGATTTTAGAGCAAACATATCATTTACTATTGCAATTATTTTCCCTTGTTTCTTGTTGTTGTAAACATGTGTTTAGAAAAAGCCACCCCTTTGTTTTCAGTGGGTGTCATAAGAGATTAATGGAAGTTAATGGGCGAAGGATGGACAGGAATGTCCCTTCTAAAACATCACTAATGCCTGTGTTTGCCACCAAGCATGGCAACTACTGGTAAAACCCACCTTATGGGGTAGGCCTATGGTCAGCAGTGGACAGATAACAGCTGATATAATATGTCTGTTTAATCTGTTTCTTCGACCATTATTTTAGTCAACGACAATACTATCGGAATTCACTTCAATGTCACCTCAACAGGAAAATATTTCTATCTAAAGTGTTTTATAACATACTGTCATATGTATTGAAGTGGGTACTTGATACTTTGTTAAATACTGGCCTAATATAGGTAGACTGAATATTAACATGAAACAAACTGATGTACATAGCTAGAGATGGGCAGTACCCGATATCTATATATCAAGTTCTTTTGAACTTTGATAACTATATTGATATTATATACTATAATAATGGTACACTTGTGTTGACATACCTTGGCTTCAAACTCTTTGAACTGCCTCTCGCGCTCCTGTCTGTACTTCTCCACCTCATCTTGAGCCTCCTCCTTGGCCTGCTTTAGGCGTTTCGCTTTTCCTGTAAAAAAAAAACATATTTGAATTTATATTTTTTGTTTTAATAATTACCTGTAATAACTAGTACCTTAGAAACATTAATTTAAAATAGTATGTTAATGTAGTTAACATTTTTACATAAGTAAACATTTTAAAACATTAGTTAATATTTTTACATAATTATGTAAAACAAACCCAGAACTCAATTTACGTGAGAAAAATCATCATATCTGTACTATAGAGATTGTTATAATAAATTTAATTTTCAATACAAAATCATTTCTGAGTAAGTATTTTATTTATTATCCTAGTTTAAATAATATCAATTTATAATACCATGAAGTTCAACATCAAGAAACAAAACAAAATAAAAAAAAATTACATTTGTATTGTCTACATTAATACACATAGTAAGTCTATGCTGTTGTCTCGAACCAGAACCCGTTGTCATTTAATAAATAATAATTAACATATTAATACTCTTGGAAATATTACATGGCACTGCCATCTAGATCCAAACTAAGCAGCGCATATACTATGGGTAAGAGATACATGGACTGATATATATATTGTAATACATACATATACATATAAGTTAAAAAAAAGTACTCGTAACTGGCGAGCGTGTATGTAAAGATTGATGAATGTGGAAGAAGTGAAAGAGGTTTGTTTGAATCGAAGCATTTGGGTGTTCCATTGTTTCTGCCTACCCTAATGGGAGACAGGCGTGACAGATACGTATGTATGTACATATAAGATACTCAGATCAATATAAACAAATATACCAATGAAAATAAAGATATTTATTGTGTAATGGGGATCAAACCTAAAACCATCGGAGTGTACTGAAACACTCTAATACCATGATACATAACCCTAAATAAGTATCGGGAGAGTTTAATAAAAAAAAAATACCACAAAATAAAAACAACATCTTAATCTCAAGCATTTTACAAAATGGACATTAAATCTCAAAAAAAAAAGAATTTTTTTTTTAGAAATAGTTGTTAACTGATAGATTTTAATATATACAAAAAACTTAGAAATACATACAGAATTTACACATAAAAACATGTATTTTATTGTGCTGGGATCGAACCTTCATCGTTAGAATTGAAGGCATAATACTACCAAGGTCATGTGCTAAATGATGATAATTAATATGATACAATATATATAACAAAACTTATTGTATAAGTAACCATAATCCTTTTACAAGAGCATCTCGGCATCCACTTCAAATATGGAATGTGATCTCTCTGTACTTATCATATATTAGAGTACTATATTGTAGTATAAATGTTTACTGTAACATTTTTAAGTTAAAAAGATAAACGTTACTTTAAATAAAACTGTAGAAGAAACTTGTATTTATGTACAGATTTCATACTAATCAAAATCAAGTAAGTACTCACAAATACATGAAAATTATTATTAGTTCGTTAACTGCTTATCTCTGTAGTTAAAATCATGAGGATTATGTCATGAAAACTGGTTTTTACCTCATCGATACTTACATATTATGACAAAATACCCATAAAATACACAGTATATAGCTAAAACACATATCGTTAATTAGTATAGAGAAGTCAAATCCATCCCTAATCATAATTACAGGCCTCAAAGCCAAACCAGGGTCACCAATTGTAAAGTCATGTGACAAATTTAGTGATATTTTTTCAGCTTTTTTTACACATTTTCAACAGAAATGTGTCGTTTTAAATAATCAGAAGGAGGTTTTTACTACATACAGTATTCTCAATACAAGATCTCGTCGAAATTTACTAGTCTTGTTCTTATTGCTAGTCAACCAAAGTGACCCGATGTAATGGATTACTACGTAGTACAAAATGAAATACTTACGCTTTCTCGCCTCTGATACTTTCTCGGCCGCTCGTTTTTCAGCAGCCAACAATTGCTGGATCCCCTGTGTCTGACTCGCCATAACTGATACACACAAAAACTATGTCGAGCGAGAATAGAGACCAAGACACGAATCAATAAGTGGAGATTGGATTTGTGACGAAAGTCATATGATTGGGTTAGTTCCAAGGTATTGTCACGATTGGCGCTGTCATCGACTCGTGCTAGGATATTTGTGCGTGTATAGGAATGTCGAATAATCGGAAAATAAGTTATTTTCCCACTATACAGAGCAAATACTATTAAAATTCATGGTCAATAAACTTATAAAATAAATCTTATTTGGAATAATTTTATACAAAATATATAAATTTATTAAAATATCATATTATATAAAAAGGAGTATCATTTTTGTAAAATGAAATAAAACTTTGTCGTTGGGTTGGTAGTTATCTGCAGAGCTCGTGCTATGTAGTGTTGTACAAGTATCGTATAATATCAAAAATATCTAATAGATGGCGGTATACGTTGAATACAAAAGTTATAATTTACTTATATAAATATCCATGGAAATTGTGTGAAGTAGATTAGAGGAAGAGTATTTATTCACAACTATTTTAATCGTGTTAATACATTTTTTTTAGCAGAGATATATGTCTTTAAATGTATGAGAATGGAATAGTAACCCGCCTAAGCTGACAGATGAAGATGAAAGCAGGTCATTTGGCTCATCATGACGAATTCATTGAGAATAAATGACGATGGTTTCCAGGGAAAAAACTAAGAGGTCGAACTGACGGAGTATGTTGCTAGTAAGGCTAATCTGCTAGTTTCCATTACCAAAAATCCCTTTAGCGCAGATGATAGATGATACAGACGATAGACATGTATATTTGTCGACTCACGCTTTTGTAATTTTTTCTATGGATTTTGTCACCCGCATCATATTTTATCGCGCCAAGTAGGTATAGAAAATCATGACCTGGTAGTATATTGCACCGGCGTAAACTTTAAAAGTCATGAGTCTGAATTTAACTGACACCAAAATAATCGCGCAAATTTCAATTTCCTACTTTTTATCTACTACCACAGATAATATAATATTATACTAGTAAATCGCGACTAGTATCGCCATCTATTAAATATTTTCGTGCAATTTTTTTTCCGTCATTGGATCCCCCTGGTGCTATTATGATAGCAAACAAGTATACATCCCGTCTAATGGTAAACGGGGTTACGGTAACCTACGGACGCCTGGAATACCCAGGATGTCACGCGCGTATTTCCGTCTCTTAAGAAACTATAATATGCTCTTTTTGAAGAATCCCATGCTGTAGTCTCTAGGGAAAACCTCGAAAAGAAAATCATTCCGCATTCTGATTGATCGCGGGAGAAACTCTTATGAAACCACACTGTGCGTGAGCATTTTGGTTCTAGGGTGTGAGGGATTCCCTGACAATTTCCTACTATCTTATAAAAAAATCGAGTGAGTAGGCTCGTCACTTGTCTCATTCTACGCTAATAGTTCTTTATAATCTGCTAATATGCTCGACGAGGGGGGAAAGGGTTTGTTAGTATTGGGTACCCCATTGCAAGCAATTAATCCTATCAGGTTAACCCCCACACGGTTCCTCCTGGAAACCATCTTGATTAATTCCTTATGAAGTCGCCACTATGGGCCAGTTGACCTGTTTCATCTTCACCTATTCCTTCATTGATGCCCCGTCAGCATATATTAAAAACGCAGGCAGAGCTACCATTTCATTATCATCTGTTAAAAAAAATATGTTCGGCGAAATGTGGGCATGCCGAATGTTGCTTTCAGCACAATGGCAACTCTCGAGGAACCACAGGGAGACTGTAAAATTAATATGCGGGTACCTTGAACCCACTTGCATTTTTTTAAAGATACTGAAAACTTACAAGGTCTGAAAATACAATATTCTCGTAGTCGTCCTCAGGAATGGCAGCGCTTGAAGAGTGCCATAGGCATTGCTGTGTTTCCTATTATGTCCACGCTGCTGTTCATGTCTATAGGTAACAGTTTCCACTTTCTACCAGGTGGACGCCACATTGTTTACATGTTTGTTTCCTCATAACTCCGTCAGTTGTAAACCAATTGGGATATTTTTTATCAGAAAGGACATACTCGCAAGTTGGATACCATAGAATTTTTATCAAAATCGGTTTAGGAGTTTATTTTTTAATCAATATAATTGATTTTATTGAAGCGCAATTGAAATCGGTTTTTTGTTGAATGCAAGTTAATTGTTTTCACTTATTTAAAAATATAAATACATTCATCATCATCACCTTATCAGCTCTTAACAGTTCACTGATGAACATAAGCCTCCCCTTAGAAGGTTTTACCAGTAGTTGCCACCCTTGGCAGGTGGATTAGCAACCGCAGTTAGGCTTTAGAGATGTTTTAAGAGGGCCGCTGCTGCCTATCCCTCACCCTCCCTTAGTGGCCTCTTGAGACGCCAAGGAGAAAGGTAGGAGTGGCCCATTCTATGCCGAGACCACCCAAGTACATTGTACTAGGCAAATACTTAGTTACCTACATATAATTTTCGATGATTTTACCAAACAACTTGGGTTTTTTGTAACTTGTCATAACTACGCCTAATATCCAATTGTTCGGCGTGTTTGCACGTGGCTTAGTCTACAATTGTGTGCATTGTTAACATTTATGTTGAACTGTATTTACCCAAGATACGAATAATATCTGGGTGATCTTGAGAAAGGTGACCAAAAACCCCTACTGTTAATAAAGAATAATGAAAAAAAAAATTGATTTTTACAAGTGACAACTTAGCGTCTATTGTTTAATAATTTGGTGATGTAATTACCTAGTTCATAAAATCCAATGGTTCATAATTTTTTTTTTATTCCCGACAAGATGGCGTCTATGCTCTATGCGCAAGTTATATTTTTAACCTTCGAGACAAAATAGACGGGGTGTTATAAGTTTGACATGTTTCTATGTGTGTGTGAATGTGCAGATGTGTGCGCAAACGTGTCGTGTGCGTGTGCAAACGAATGAACCGATTTTTTTTGTTTGAAAGGTGAATTAGTCAGGAGTGTTTTATGTTTATTGTATGTTTGATGGAAATCGGTTCAAGATGGCCGCCGCCACAAAATGTCAGATTACATTTTTTCACAACTCATTCAATATATGTATCAAATAAAAGGGCTTAAGTAGTAGAATACTATACACTATGACAAATTTCAAATCCAAAATGGCCGCCACCACAAAATGGCATATAACTATTTTTTTTTTACAACTTGACTAGTAGAATAATAAATGTTTATTTTATTATCTGATCAATGGCTAAATTAATTAATAAAAGACTGATGATATGAAAAATATATATATATTGGTTTCTCTAGGGTCGGCAACACGCACGTGACGCTACTAGTGTTGCAGGCGTCCATAGGCTACAATGACCGTTTACAGACGGTCTGTATGCTCGTTTGCTACCTTTGTAGAATAAAAAAAAGTTATAGAGTGTAAATTAATGATACCTATCTAACGACAAAAATTAAGTAATTACTTTATTTATAAAAAAAACTGTCAAGTGTGAGTTAAACTCATTCGTCGAGGATTTCATACATAAAATAATCCCTAAATGGTTTTTGTTTTGTTTAGATATAAATTATTTGAATATGTTGTACACGCGCTTGTTGCTTCAAAAATACAACAAAACGCCGAGAGAAATAAAACTAATTATTCAATACAAGATAAACGCGTCAAAAGGTCGAAATTAGCATAACATACAAAAATCAATCGGTACATGAGTGAAACTCTTTAAAATTTTTTTTTGATGGGTGAAAATAATATGGTAACCCCGCCTGCGCTAACGGGATACGCTGGCGGAGCACCAGTGAAGGGTGATAGATGAGAATGAAAACAGGCCAGTTAGCACATCATGATGAATACATCAGAAATTAACCATGATAGTTTCCAGGGAGAACCGCGAGAAGGTCGACCTGGTTGGGTATATTGCCAGCAATGGGATTCTCAGTCTCCATCACTAACAATCCCTTTCCCCCCACTCTTTGAAAATTAGTACTAGGATATTTACATTTCACTGTAACAATATCATACTGCAGTCAAAATTTTAACAACCCCATCTCTATTAGCTAAATAGAATTGCACTAAAATCTATTGAAAAAATTCTGAGCTAGTAATAATATATATATATTTTTTTATACAACTTAGAATGGCAAACAAGAAGGAAGGCTTATGTTCTACAGTGGACAGTTAGAGGCTGGTGATGATGATGATGATGGCAATCATCATCATCATCATCATGATATATATGACAACTTCATCGCTGTTTTTCTGTGCGGAGCGAAATGCTATTTATTGCGAAACGACTTCCATCTACTTGTTACTGATTTATGAAACATCCCGTCGGTTTTAATACTTCTGTTCATTTTTTATTTTTTACTCCACCCCCGCCCGCACCGACGACGTCAGTGCGAGACGAGACGCTGTAACGCGAAGCGCTGTACTCCCCCTGAAGAAGATTTCCCGATGTAGTCGAAACAGTTGTCGGAAACAAAATAATTTACCTAGTAAATTACAAAATTCCCGTTATACCTACATACATACAGACATCTCGTCGTATGTATATATATATATATATATATATATATATATATATATATATATATATATATATATATATATATATATATATATATATATATATATATATATATATATATATATATATATATATATATATATATATATATATATATATATATATATATATATATATATATATATACATCACTGTAGTAGTAGTAGTAGTTCATTTTTTTTATAATCGTATGTAACAAGAACAGCTAGCGGGCCCGTGGTCCCATTGCTAGCAATATACCCTGTTAGTGGGTTTTTTAGTGATTGACAATGGAATGGTAAACCCCGCCCGCGCTTACGGTATACGCTGGCGTAGCACCAGTGATCGATGATAGGTGAAAATGAAAAAGCAGGTCAGTTAGCCCATCGTGATGAATACACCTGGCATTCAGCACGATAGTTTCCAGGGGAGACCACGAGGAGGCCGACCTGACAGGGTATATAGCTAGCAATGGGTCTGGTTACCCGCATTAGTAAATAAGATAAATATCTCCCCCCCCCCCCCCCATCGGAGATTAAACAACTTAAGCGCACTCCTAATTTTTGAAGCTACCGCTCTGAGAGCTACAGCCAAACTAGTTCCGCAGCGGGAAAGGGATTGTTAGTAATGGGGTCTAATTGCTAGCAATACACCTTATCAGGTCGTCGTATCAGGAACCGCGTGGACCTCCACGCGGTTCCCCTGGAAACCATCGTAACTAATTTATCGTTGAATTCGTCACGATGGGCTGGTAGTCTGCATTACTAACAATTCCCCCCCCCCCCCCAACCTGTCAATGGGTTTACTCTTGAAACAAACTCCGATCACTCTCGAATTGCCATACTAGGGATATAACAGTTCCATATTGTTCTGATAGATGCATATTATTTATTTATTCATTAGTACAAATATGTGTACATGGCGGACTTAATGCTAAAAGCATTCTCTCCCAGTCAACCATTAGTGCAACTTGTCAATGCATACTATTGTAAACCGATCCCAATTATAAATTAATTTCTGTTATTTCATGAGTGCAGTGTAAAATTAACATTGGTAATAGATTGGTTGGATATTGATATTAGATTCAAGAGTACAGCTGTAGGTCGACCTCCACGCGATCCTGGAAGCCGTAGCGGTTAATTCCTGGTGCACTTGTCACGATAAGCCACTTGGCCTGACTTCGTCCTTGCTAACTTTTTCATTATTATAAAAACAGTATCAATGAAAGGCATTTAATTTTTAATATAGATTTCGCTTTACCGCTTTCTCAAAGGTTTGTAATATTTATTATTTGCATGTGAGTTATTGAAGTCGCTGGCGGAAGAGCCAAAAAAAAAAATTTTATAAAATAACTAAATTTAATCATAAAATTAATTGTTACAATAATAGGTGCCTTCAGATCGATGTGTGATCTGTAAATGAAGTCACATCGAATCAAATACAAAGGAACTGGGTAATTTTGCTGTGGGAATTAAAGTGCTGACTGGACGCAGGTGTCTTTCTCGGTAGCGCCTTCTTGCGTCAAGCTAGGTGGTCCGATCCGATCGCCGTTGAAGGTGTATCGTAATACTTTACTATAACATGTGATTAAAGATTTATACTACAAATAATTTAAATAATTGAAAATGTACATATATATATATATATATATATATATATATATATATATATATATATATATATATATATATATATATATATATATATATATATTTGAATATACTTAATCGTTTATTTCTATTTTCAAATAAAACTTGAACTGTAAACAAATCAATAATTGAAACGACCATAAATATGCTGATGTCTATTAATACTTAACACAAATAAAAAAAAATACTGAATGTTTTAATTTGTAACAATTTCATTTAGAGATTTTCTGTAATAATTTCGACATTGTTACACTTTCATTATCTTTAAATTTTTTAGTATTAAAATTTAAGTATACATAAGTCTGCTTTCTTAAGGAAAATATTATATATACCTACTCCTAGTTACATAAATATAATATGATTAATGTAAACTTTGCCAAAACATTATTCATTTATTTTTATTATTTGACACTCAAAGGGTTAAAAATCTCATTATTTTTGTGTGAAGTCGGCTTGAAATCACAGATTCCCGTCACAGCGTCTAGCCGTCAAGGGGGAATGGTCTCCATTATTTTCGTCCTTTTCTATTGATACAGAATAAAACGAAATAGCATGCAAACCCCACTCTTTACAAGCAATAAACGGTTAAGTTTTCTGTATTAATTAAATCGCTTTATACATTATACATTGCCTTCTTTACCTTTACATTGTTATTAGCCCAGACAAATGTAGCAGCAATGTAAATAGTGTTATCCGATATAATTGAAACGCTACTAGTGCGGAGCCGCGTGGTAAGTGCTCCGAGTCACGTCACTGTTTTCTTTATCATTTCGGTGGCAAACTTAACGTAGTATGGCCGTCGTCGGGAGGTATTCACAGTTTTACTTCCATAAAGAATACGCGATAAACATTGCTCAGTGCAATTTACGAAAGACATTTTTAAATAAATTCTTTACGAGAGTGAGATAAACAATAATCAATAACCAAAAGTGTTAAAGTTAAAAGTATCGGCACGTTTTATAATTACGACCTCTTTAACTATTTTACGGTTTTCACCTAAATAATCAAAATGTGGTTGATAAGTCAGCCCAATTCTGTGATCCTTGAAGTGAAGGCTGATCCTAACTCTATTGGACAGGAGTGTCTTGAGAAGGTAAGCGTTTCCCTTTTTAAAGTCTACCAAGTTGTCTGGTATTTTTATAACTTTATTGCAATCACTTTCAGATTTGTTGGCGGAATGTTGGCTTGAATCTGAAACGTTTATTTATAGGCAACCTAATTTTTCTTAAAATTTTAAATTTAGAATATAAGTATTACAAACCAGACAACTCAACAAATGCAAGAAATGAAATGCATGCGTTTTTTTCTTTTGTTTACATTGTAGAATATTAAGTAATGTGATTATTTACTTACTCATTAAAGTAAGTAAATAATAACAATTTCTTTATGCGATATTTTATAGTAATAATTTGTAATCTAATGTATGAGAAATCATATTAGTTTGTTACAAAAGCATTGTATGAAGCACGTTCGCGCTATCGTATCGACACGACGTCAGTGTTACCTTGCGGACTTTGGACCCGGCATACGGCATGGTAGGGCGCTCCGTTCACGCCTTACCGTCGTGATCTATCATATAGATATTACATTTTAATATTATTTATATATTTAGTAACTTTTTAGAAAAAAAAAACTTATCAAAATTTAATACTTATTATATAAATAATTAATTAGGTATAATCATGTAGGTATGATATTAATGTAATTAACAGTCTGACAAGCAATGTACATGACAAATGTGATAATAAAAAAAAATGATAATGAACTTCAATAAAGCAAGCCAATTCAAAATCGAGAATCAAGCAAATTATCAGTTTAATTTGCTTAATTCTCAAACACACTTACTATGTACTAGAAACCAGGTAATAAATATCTGGAAAGTCAAACAAACATCAAAGTCCGAAAATCTGGGACTTCATTAGCGCAAAGAAATGTATTTTACACAATAGGTGCCGTTACCCTACGGAGGTCACCGTTTCATAATGAATACCTTACCGACCTATGAGGTACCTATTTACCGCAGCTTCATCACTAACGTATAAAACCTGTTTCCAACCAGAAGTTCAAAGTATGACATGGCCAGCATCAATCTGTATTAACAGAACATATTTATCTTTTAAACGATTGTGTAAGCAATGTACACTCTTTATGGTTTGTTTTCTTTTGCACTTGTAAAAAAAAAAAGGATAAAATTCAGGCGCTAAAACACTTCTGTCGATGTGCAGACATTTTTGGCCGAACTCCAATACTTGCGAATTTCAACACATTACCTAGATAGATTCAGCTGTTTTGTAGACTTTCAAAATACTCATTTACCTTAGCGTGTAAATGTAAAAATTTTGTTTCCAGATAGATTACGAATTGGTTAATATTTCCAGAAAAAAAATACATATCTCTCCAAAAGTTCATTAAAATCGTTTCGCTCTTGTAAAAGTAGTTACAAACTGACTCACTTTACTATTTATAACCAGAATGTACTTTACATTGGGGATTTGCTCTGTACAATGAAAATACCTAGTTGCAATACGCACTATCTACAATATTGAGCATTGTGAAGAAAGAAACGATAGTCTAGTAATGACTAGTATTCATACATATGGTGATCATAGAAAGTACGAAAGCACATAGTATATTATGATAGAAATAAAATAGAAACACTGTCTAAACCTTAGTCTAAACAAAACGTTGCCTAGATATTTAAATAAATAATGCTTTGTCTATGACAACTTATCTTTTATTTTAATCATTAGCCTAATTTGTCAAGATCTAAACTATTGTTAGAATAATCTATTCTACAATTAAAGCCAAAGATAACATAGAAATTCATCCTTAGCTAAATCGAGCAAGACGTTACAAATCGCCGGTGATTGTAGCCGAGTCCAAAGTCCAACTTGAACAGCTGTGAACTCACCGTGAGCGCGTACACGTGCATGCTGCGTGATCGTTGCAAGAACCATTCTATTCGTTGAGCGTTCAACTCTAATACAAATGTGCTAGAGTTTAGAATCGAGAAAAGGAAACCATAGAAAAAGTTTGTACAACTGCGAAGTTTGAATTTAGAATGAATGCATTTTTTTTTTATATCTCTAACAGACTATATATATTCATAGTAAATTGTATACTGTAATAGATACAGCGACCTCGTAATATGCAGAGTTGTACGATCTCCCAATAACAAATGGTAGAACAAAGGTTACTTGCAAGCTGAGGCCTAATAGAGTAAGCTACCATTTTTTTTAGATTCAGTTTTAATAATATCACCCCTAAGAAGGTTAAATTAGAGATGAATTTTTGTGACAACTAAGTACGCACTACTCCAAGCTTTGTAGCTATAACAATATCGTCTATTTATAATTAAAATTAAATTTTATTTGATAACAGAGTGAATGTAGGTAGATGCAAGTGATTCACAAATATTATTTCCTTTCGTACTGGATGTGTCACCGATTACAGAGCAATAAGTACTTTTATCTCAACAATTTAATTAGACGCTTTCGAAATTTCGATCGTATTAATGTTTCAACAAAGAAACCATAAATCAAATGGTACATTACGGCAATGCAAAAGATAATTGCAACCAAATGTGACTGGCTACATTGAAACCTTGCTTTTGGTTTTACACGACCTTGTATAAGTAGAGAATATGATCTCTGAAGATCGTTTAATATATATATACCTACATAAAAATTACGCGCCTTAGAATAATTCGTGTTAATTTTTTATTACTTATATTTTTTTTATCTACGATGAAAAACTTATAGTCTAAATTTGATATGTACAACAGGTTTTTGTAAATAATATATGCGTACAAATATACATATGGCAATTAAAAATTTACATAATATAAATTTCAATGCAAATCAAAGATTTGAATGCATCAGCATGTATATATCGTTAGTAATTAACGACTCAATAATTAACTAGAAGGAACGAGGAAAAATGTACGTTGCTTTTAATTTACTTACATCTAATGGATTTCTCAGTCTACATCGCTTTAACTACATTAACCTTACACTCCAAAGTTCACCACAAGCGGTGGGGTTATTTTTAACTACATGAGTGCTCAAACTCACATTAATTACTCACGTAAAGAGGTCACAAACTCGTGACAAAACGTGGTGAAAAATTTGCCTATATAAGTACTTCGATTTTATGCTGCCCTAGTACTTTGTGTAAAAAAATATGAGGCTAGCTTAGGGTACAATTTCAAATGGTCTATTTTTTACTGCAGACTTTACAAGAACGTGTTAAAATTGTAGCCACAACCAAGTGAAAATTACAGTGGACTTTATTGGCCTACATTGAAAACTAAAACGTAAACAAATTGTGCAATACTTGCAGTACTTACCGACTGCATTGTAAAGTTGCCTAATTATGTTTCTTTCATATACCAACTGAGATGTAATTAAAATACAAGCGTACCCATATCGTTAGTTACCTGTTGATTTACAATGTTCTTTTAATACACTGGCTTCCATCGTTCAACTTTCCAATTGCTATAGTGGACTTTGAGCTGTGACGTCACGCGTACGGCCTCTGTTGGGTTGGGTAACGTTGTCGCATTGTTTGTTACAATATCCTCGTAGTTTCGGTGGTACGCTTGTTAATGCTGGACTTTGATCGAGACCAATACTAGGTGCTTATATTTTTTATCACATTTTCATGTTGTATCATTGGTTACTGTTGTAATATCCTCAATTGGTAACGTGGACTTCGTGCCGTGACGCCACATACGGCCTCTGCATGTAACATTCTCTTCGCATTGTTCGTCACAATTATTATCGTAGACTTTGTACCCTATTAAATCGGAACTTCGGTTTGTAGGGAAATTAACTATTTATTAAACATTCGTACTAATATTTTTTTATCAATATAGATTTGCATATTTTGCGTACATGTAACTTTACTACATAAAAATGTGGTAAGATACATCACCTGTATATTTATGTGCGCCTGGTAACTATTACATGTAACGGAGTTTAATTTACCTGAGAATTGTACGAAGTTGTATGAGGCGGTGGTGGTGATCTTAGTTTCAACAATTTATCGATGATGATGATGATGACATGATGCCAATGAAATTACTGGATACTGTGACTCAAGATCTCCATTACCTCAATGTTGCAACCTCAATGGTGCATTGCAGTGGCTTTACCATTAGGCGAATCGTATGCTCTATTTCCATATAGCTATAAATTATACTACATAGACAATTACGTGTTTTTAATGTATTTTTTACGAAGCCCGCCATGTTTTACCAATACTACAGCTTATAACATCTACCCATCAACTTTCACTTGCATCGCTTGCTTCAAAAACGCAACTTTCGCTAGTTCTCATTGCTGTATATGTTCAACATATTATTATTACATCTAATCTTGTTCATTATATAACTGAAATATTATTTAATTGTAGATTGGACAGTTTATGGATGCTGGGTAAACTCATGCCTTTAAATTTCACTAAAACCATTACTCGGTAAAACAAAGATGTTTTACAACAGAGTTCTAATACTTAATTTATAGGTTAAAAAATTGGATCATCTAATAGTTTTTTTTTAAACTAAATTCGAATCTGAATCGTAGGAAAATACATTTTTAATCTACAATATATTTTTAGAATATTCAATGATTGAATTTTGGTAAAATATATATACCTAATATAAATACCAAAATAAAATTTTGGTAAAATATATATACCTAATATCAATACCAAAATAAAATTTTGGTAACACACAATGTTTTTTCCTATTTTGAAAAACCAATGTCAATTACATTAACCATTATCAAATAAAAGTTGGCAGCCCAAAATAGGTTCATAAAAAGCAATGTTACCATCGCTTTATGAACCTAATAACCTCGCAAATCTTATTTTAAAAAAGAGCATTGGCATTTAATTTTTTTTTTTTTTTACATTCAATAAACTGAAAATATCATAAATTTTTTTAGAGATGCAGCTAAAATTTCAAAGTTTTATTTTTACTATCTTTTTGTAATGTACCCACTAAAAATACAATTTTTGATTTTGCTGCAAACCTACTTCGTTATCATCATTATTTCAGCTATTACTGTTCACTGCTGAACATAGCCTTCC